TACAAACCATAACAATTAACATTTGATCCCCTGCTGTTCTATGGCATGGGGTACAGATGACATTCGTTATGAGATGCTTCGCCATCTCCATACATGCGCATTTCATTATTTACTGAGTATTTATAACCATATCTGGGAGGAGGAGCCAGTTCCCAAGGAATGGCTTGAGGCGGTGCTTCTTTCTGCTCGGAAGCCAGGTTCTCAAGGGACATCCCATAAGGATTTATCCCCCATTGCCATTGGCGAATTGCATCTGCAAATTTTATGAACGTATGGTCAATGTCCGTCTGATGTGGTTCTTAGAATACTATCGCCACCTTTCCCGCTTCTCATTTTAACTTTCGCAATGTCGAAGCACCTACCTTGAGGTTACCTTGAGGTGCTTCCGGGGCTTAGCGTCCCCGCGGCTCGGTCATCGACCAGGCCTCCTGGTTGCCGGACTGATCAACCAGGCTGTTGGACGCGGCTGCTCGCAGCCTGACGTACGAGTCACAGCCTGGTTGATCAGGTCCGGCACGACTGAGGTATTGGAAGACTCAAGAGGTCTGAATTCGTACTGTCTTAAATTTGCAGCATAGACCTCCGTTGTTGCTGTCCTTTTTTATGTGGAAAAGGTAGAGTGGATATAACAAAAAACTAGCTATAAGTTCATCTAATATCCCCATCTCACAGCATGGTTAGTCATCCATGGAGTCAGAACATGAAATGCAGGCTGATCTGAAGTTTCCTTAAAGTCAGTGGGAAAGATTTGATTAGATTGCGTTGTTCTTTTAGTGCTGAAAGACGAGGTGATAAAAAAACAATATAAAGTAATGAGATTCGACTTTTATCGTACAAGTAAACTAGAGTTAAAAAAATTAAAAGGTTCCCCTTTCGAAAAATGTGCTTGGGAAGGAGTGATCGCTCCCCTTGCTCCTCCACTAGATACACTACTGCCTAACTCCCTGGTAGCTATATAACTAATGTGATAAGTCCTTGCGAAACGCTTTTAGGCATCCGACCATAAATAAAGATGAGAAAAGGAACTTTGGAGAGTTAATTTTCCAATTACCCCCCCCCCCCCGCATTAATTTATGTATGAGAACAGATGTATTTTTAGTACACAGTAATCTAAAATTAATGAATGTGTCTTGAAGGACAGGTTGCAGTTCACGAAAGATGCACTCTAAATGCTAATGAATGCTGGTATATCATATTTACCTTTGTCTGATTTACAGTGACTAGCCCAAAAGCTATATGACTTGCAGGAATAATTATAGAAATATAGGACATATGAGATTGAAACCGACCTAACTACAGCTGTATGTGAGACTATGCACCCTGCCCCTAATGTTAAACACCTGCATTAAATAACCCCTATAATGGTTGAGAATGCTTTAAGAAAGCTAAAAAATGGGAGTTATGATAGTACCCTTGACATATATTATGACAACATTGAATGCTGAAACTGTATGTTTATCTGTGTCTTATTGGTTTTCTCTCCCATGGTATATTACTCTCTGTAATAAACACTTCTGTATTTGTTCCCATACCAAAAAACTGTTGAGCTTCTGTGTCCTCTGATAACTACAGAGCTAGTGCCTTAAGCACTATTAAACAAAGTGTTTGATTATAGCAAATTAGCTGTGAATGTAGGAATGTCTTTTCTGAATATTTCTCATTGAAAAATTGAATCAAACAAGGTGCAGTGTTTAGTCCTACATTATTTGCTGTCTATCTTAATCCATTATTGAAAGAGATAAAGAGTCAGTCGTGCTGGAAGTCACATAGGCAGAACTAAGGCCAATGTTTTCTGTTATGCTGATGATCTAGTTCTACTCCCACTGACCAAAGATGCTAAGGAAACCTTGATAGGCATATGAAAAAGATATAGTGCTGAATACACCCTTACTATGTATATAAAGTTCAATTAAGCCAAATGTGCTGTAGTTCCCTTTCTCACGATTTGTATTATATTGATCCCAAATTAAGATTACTGGGCAGAGAGACTCTTGTGATGTACAGCATTCTAAAAAGCATTTGTGGCATATAATTTCCTCAAAGTGCCCACTTGTCAATTTTTCTGATGCTATTAGAGACCTAAAAGTTAGAACAAATGTCATTACGAGTGATTTTGATCATCTTGATACCTGGTCGAAAGTAAAATTATTTAAATTAACAAGGTCCAATAGTTAAAGTTATTTAACTATAGGACCTTCAAACTGTTGATCTTGGTAAGCTTAATTGTACATGGAGAAAGTGTTGAAGACGAATCTTGGGTGTCCATCCTCACACTCATTGCAATCTCATATCAGGCCTGATGTCCATACCCACACTTGAAATAGCTCACAAACAAATGATATTCTTTTGTCTGAAGGGAATTGCCCATCCAGCACGCTTAATCAATTCTTTATTCAGACACTTGTCACTGGCCACTCCAAGTTTTACAGAAATATAAACTTAATTGTTGGGAAATACAACTTAAGAATAAGTGATACATATGATGGAGCAGCAGATATACAGGACAGAATAAAACAACTAGTAAGCAGAGAAAGCAGGGAGATCCCCAGCTAGATAATTGAAATTTTAAAGGAACTACTGTCACAAAGAGATGGCTTACTGACAGCCATTTTGAGTCCTATGGAAGTCAGATCTTTGTTGCATGAATTATGTTGGTAGTGATTTTAATCCAGGGCAGCCCTAGAATTTGTTAATTGAGAGTGCTGAGGGTGTGAAAATTGTTTTGTATAAATTCATTGAATGATTAGTTTATATTGTATTCTCTTCATCATATAGTCATAATAACAACATAACATGAATTTCTCATAGGTAAATAATTCACTGTAATGCATTGTACACTTACCCAACTACTGTATAAATGTACTAAACAGACATTTATGAATAAAGTTTTTGAATTTAATTTGCACCTATAAAATTGAAGCAGGCATACTTAATTTAGACAATTTTACTGCAACATTGAGAAAATGTCCAAAACATATTCTCCGTGATGCACAAACTCCTCCCAGAACCAGCCGCATCCACCCCCAGCAATGCTAGACAATGTCTTAACAATTACAAAAATAAGCAGAAATTGTAAATATACACAAGGCCATAAAAACTAGATGATTTTATTAATAAATTATAATATAAAAGGACGGTATTACTTCTAGTTGGAATGGGGACCCATACCATCAGAGAAAATGAAAACAAAAATAATTTCAAATTATTATAAGTTTCCACCAATGCAAGTTTATTATATTATCACCCCCCCCCCCCCACCCTCCTGGACCATTTATGTTTCATAATTGTAAAAAAACTAATGGAATTAGTTAATTTTAATGTACTCTACAAAGTTTTTTAGTTTGAGTCAAACCTCTTTGATCTATCCTAATAGGATAGGTATTTATAGATATTTAGATATAGATACTGTAGATATTTAGGATCTATCCTAAATATGTTATTATTTTTAATACTGCCAAATATAAGTAAAACTAGGCTAAAGTTAAAAGTTCATGTTGTCAATCTATAATATGTTAATATTATTAATGGTGAACAAATTTCCAAAGAAATATTTGATAATACAGTGCACAAAATCACTCCGGCAGCTAGGCAAAATGGGTCTTACTTTCTAGGTCAAATAGTGCAGTTCTGGCTATCAATGATATGATAGCCAGAGTCATGAGTCATTTCTATATTCCATATGTTCTTCAATTTGAAGAAGCTTTTAAAAATGTAGGATGAGGTGAAATGAGATATTACTCAGTCAATGTTGGCTGGGGCAGTAGGTGGTATATTGGATGGCAATGTCTTATCTTGAGGAAGGTAAGGTATACCTAATCTGGCTGTTTTTTTAATTTTTATGGGTGATATGTAGTGCCTTGGTTATCTTTAACTTCTATAGTCTGTTGATTATTTCTGTGTTTATTGGTCAAGATATATCTCATTTTATGTCAAAATTGTTATCTTTGGTGGAGCCTTGTTTGTGCACTGTCAATTGCCTTCAATTAGATGATGTTTTGCCAATATATTGAGATCATTGGGGCTGATAGCCCCCAAATGGACATAAAAGAACGGATTCATGCCTTGTAAAGCATTTCACGTAAGTGTCGAGAGTTTTTCATGAGTACGCTAGTGGTCCAGTTACTCTTGTAGCATTTGGTGAACTATGTCTTCAGGTTAGTGTCACTAGGGGGTTATGTTTCTGTCACTGATGTCTCTCTGGACTCTCTTCTTCTTCTTCACTCTTGTTGAACATCTTCCTCTTCTAGGAAGATGGTCAATGGGACCAAGCAACACTTCTAGCTAGACTCTGATAGTCTTGCCTGCATTTCTTTCCTCACGTAGTGCTGTGCTACAAGTGAATGTGGCATAGATATTAACACAGCAGTTTCTGAAATTTTGATTGGGATTAATGACCCCAGTCAAAAAAGGAGCCAGTCAAGCATGATATTTTTGCAAGCTCTGCATCACTACTAACTACCGCAAATGATTGCATGCAAACAGACCCACTGGGATAGCCCAACAGTGGAGTAGATTAACTCAATAATGCTGGATGTAGCATTGTATCATCTATGTAAGATGAAGCATGGCTCCTTGCTATGAAAGCCCTTCATGCTAGGGCTTTCTTATTATCTGTCTTTAAGTCCTCCTTGGGCACCTGCCTGGACTGTTGAGCTCTTAGCCTCTTGCCTTGTCACCCCCATCTACTCAACAGTGGCTTATCAGGCCGCTTCTCATTTATAAATTTGCATCTTACATTGCCAAATATTGCAGTCCTGTTGTTTGCAGTATTGAGCAAGGAAAAATTACCTTAATTTTCCTGAAGATATTTGAGGCTTTGGGATTTACAACTTGCTCCATATCCATATCAAACTATCTCATTGCTTTTACTTTGGGTCTAGGTCAGCCTGTGTGGGAGGCCAAAACTCATTTTAATTTTTGTAAGGTTCAGTGGGAGTTGTTTGTTAGAAAAGAACTGGGTTTTCAAAGTTTAGTAGTGAAAGGGATAAAAGAGATCTGGATCAATCAAATTTATTTTATTAATTTTTATAATTATTCCAGAATACAATTATAGAAAATTTATAATTTCTTTTAAATACTGCAAGATTTGTTCAAATAGTGTAGATCCCTCATCCCCTAACGTGTCCTGCCATTAACATTATATTACTCATTGTCTGGTAATTAGGAATCTTTTTTTTTAATCTTTCTTAATGTTGAAGACCATGTTATATGCAAAATAATTTACTGCTTCTTGTTAACTGTTAGATGGAAGGTTCACTTAAAAACTGCAAAATAAGAAAAGAAAATTTTGCACCATTTTATTGAATCATTTCTAGTTATCTTACAAGATATCGTACAGCACAATGAGTGGACTTCCGTGGAATATTGTTCAATGAGCAGACAACTGCATGGCAGGCTGCAAGTGGGACTATATGCCAAGGCAGGGAAGTGCTGAGTCCCATTGTCCACTAATACTTGTGTGCAAAATCAAGATAAATATTCAATACAAACTTAAGAATAGCAATGGAAGGAATTTTAGTAACTTACATTTCAAAAATTATGAAACTGAATATAAAATATATTACAATATTACTCTAGGAAACAGGAACAGGAATAATCAATAGAGGCAATCTAGAAAAGCAAATCCTATTTGGGCTATGTAGGTGCCTAAAACCTGGACAAGCTCAGCACCACCTTGGCTCAACATCACAGTTGCAGAGCAACAAGAAGAAACTATAATGTTATAAGTCTGCTTCTATTGCTGGGAGAAATATTTTCAATACAGGCAGGCACATGACATTGTGTTAACTACATATCTGTTTATAAGCTTAAAAAGCATAGTAGTACCTCGGTAAGATGGATAAACAAAATGCAAGTGAGGCGCATATGGCATGGCAATGATGGCTCTTATCTAACTGGTAGTTAGCATAAGCACTGAAGTGTTTAACAAACCAGTGAGGGTTGACACATGAATTACTGATAAAAGACTGAAGCAGGATAAAGGTAACTTGTCTAGTATCAGATGCAAATGATGCTACAGAATATAATACAAGTTTATCGCTACAGTCAAAAGGCCACTGCCACACACATTTCAATGGCAAACACTTGAAATTTGATATACATCATCTACCAGCTCTTAAAAAACAGATCCACAAATGATAAAAAAAGTGAATGAATAATTGGCTACTGATCACCATGACACCCTTACAGATTATAATATATATGGCACCTAGTACAGATTTCCAATGTACTTGGGTGCTATGATGCTGATAATGTATCTGAAATGGCACTTGCACTGCTACTATTATATCAAGTCTACCTTTGCGATGTAGAATCAGGAGATATACTTCATCAGGATTCCAATTCTCATCGAATATCAAATATTAATAGGTTTTGCTCATCATGTTCCCATGATGAATTTATGGTGTAATTGTTCTCCACAAAACTAATGCAACTCCCTATCTGTGAAGTGATTATACACTTCTAGCACTCAACTCTCAGGCTGCTTTAAATTTTCAAATTCCACAGTCCACCATATGTTCTACTATTAGACAGATTTCTAGAAACAAATTAATTACTGCGTATAAGCAAGGCAGTAGCACCAATTTTAATCACAAAGATTGTGTCATTGTGAATCCCAATCCCTTACTGTTACAATGCAATGTGCAATTAATACAAGGAAGTCTTTTGTTGAAAATGATAACCACACACTGAGCTGTCTCAATGATGATTCTGTGAAAACTTCCAAACAACACTCGCCACTTTGAGCAGACCCACTAATCAAGTGCAGTAATTGGGCTTACTCATACGATGTGCATGCATCACCTTCTGAAGTTGTTGCTGGAAGACCGATCAGCATTGGCTTGCCCAAATATGGATGTATTTGACTAGGGCCAAATTATCTCAATCCCTAAACCAGTACTCATCACAGGCCCCATCACAATCCCCCTCACTGTACAAATCTTTCTGTACATATATTACAACATTTACACTGCTTGTCCCTTGTTCATGTCCATAACTAATGAACAGAGGGAAGTGTTTCATTCTGATTTATCAGTTTTGTCCAAAAGATATATTTGTTCTCATAATGTTATAGAACAGTCATTAAAAAAGGAATCACTATTGAAAGCAATAAATCTAGTCATATCTAAAAGGAACAGAATGGATGACTGAGGTATCAATTTATATCTTTTGCAATGCACACCCACACAAATTTGAAAACTTCATCCTTTCTATTGCATGACTAGTCATTAACTCTACAACTAGCACTGGAAACACTGCTGTCCTTGACATCTTAGCATCTTGTTAACATTTTCCTAAGGAACAAGTGCCATTTATCATTTGCAACACACAAAAAAAAGTGTTATTTACGTAAAAACTCTGCCAACCTGTCGAGCAGACATTGCTTCCACTGCTGTTGATTCGAGTCCATCTCCACAAGGGAGTACGTACAAAATACAGGATCACAGATGCAGGTTCCCGTCCCTGAGTGGGAACATGGAATGTTGGCCACACCTACTGCTGCTGCCATTGTACCCAGGAGGCACTTGTGGCAGGTGGCTGTTGTAAATTAGAGTTGCTACTACTCGTACTAGATGGAGCTCCTGAACCATCATCTACTTGGGAAACAGCCACAACTGATCCATCTGACAGCCGCTGGTATGGTAAGGGGAATGTCTGAAAATTTGAGAAGTATTGACCATGATACTGTGCAGCTGCAATTCCCACTGAAGGATAAAATGCCCTTTGTCCTACAGATGGTATTGTTGCTGATGACTTTTGTTGGGCCATCATCTGGTTCAAAGTTATCTTTCCTGGCAGAGGTCGCGCAACTGGCCGGGGAGCTCCTAGATTCTGCACTAGCTCCAACATGTCCTCTGAGATTGTGCGTCCCTTTTTATTTGAGGTGGTAGCTGATGAACACTCCATAGAATGATCAGACATCAAGACTGAATCAGAATTAGTCCCTGTGGATAACTTGCAGCCATCTGTTTGTACATCATCAGCTTGGCAATGAGGGGAAGTGGGAGTCATTCCTGATGGTGGAGGACCAGGAGATGAGGCCAGACGAAGCGACTTGGGTCGCTTGTTATGGTGCCTCCGTTGCATACGTAGCACCTTATAAGCCTCTCTCTCTTGTTGGTGTCTCTGCCGCAATTCAGCCTCTTCATGCTCTTGCCTGAAAATATAATAGTAATTACATTTAGTATCTTATTAAAATTAAAGACTACTATCAGCAAAAGATACACAATTTTAAACTTTTTAGAGAAAACTCATTTATGAGACTAAACTCAAAAGTATAGTCTCAGTTGCTTTCTTCTCTCGTGTTCATTTGTTTCACGTTTTCTTGCGAGCCTACCAATGTGTGTCCATATGAGATCTTGCTCTTGGGACCTATGAGGCATCGGTCACACCTTAACCATCTAGTTGAGTATTTGGCGCTTTCACAAAAACCCATGCATGGGAATTCTTGGACAGTGAGATCTGGATACCTGGATATAATCTATACAAGTGTGATAGGGTAAATAGGTCACAGGAAGGAGTGGGTCTGTATAATAAGAGAAGCCCTTGTGTGCTCAAAGCTCCTTAACTCTACAAATGAGGTGGTAGAGGTAGTGCTTTACCATACCTGGTTGTGAAGCTGTGGATGGACATGATCATTCATTCCACTTATCAACCAATTCAACTGGATCATTTGTATTTCCTATCTTCACCTGTATCTGCCCTGCCTTATTTTGTTTTCACATCATTTGAAATAGTTTTGTATTTATACAAATAAAGATATTGTATATTATTAGTACTATTGATCAGTACTCATCTAGTTATACTTGTGGGAGTAAAGCTTTGGTTCTTTGGTCCCACTTCTCAACTGTCAATCTACTGGTGTACAGATTCCTGAGTCTCTTTGACTATCATATCCACATTTGAAACTGTATGGAGTCAGCCTCCACCACATCACTTCCTAGTGCATTCCATTTACCAACTCCTCTGACACTGAAAAAGTTTTTTCTAATGTCTTTGTGGCTCATTTGGGTACTCGGCTTCCACCTGTGTCCTCTTGTGCGAGTACCACCTGTGTCGATTGATTGATGAAGATTAAGCCACCAAAGAGGTGGCACGGGCATGAATAGCTCGTAAATGTGGTAAATAATCCGTCCTTATCTACCCTGTTAATTCCCAAGAATTTTGTATGTGGCGATCATGTCTCCCTGAGACCTCCTGTCTTCCGGCGACATGAGGTGCAATTTACGCAGCCTTTCCTCTGCATGAGGAAAGTGTATGAATCAGTTTATGTCTGCTTGCCCCTCTCTCACCCTGGTAAATCTGATACCAGGGAAAGCTGGTATCAATTTTCAATCAATCAATTTGGTATCAAAGCTGGAAACAATTTTTATCAGCATATCAACATTCCTTAAATTTCTTATCAATAAAAAGAGTAATTATGGAAATGTGCAAACGTTATCAGTCTGTTACTGTGAAATACACACAACCATCTTTCATACTCTTCTGGCAGGTAATTTGCAAAAATAATGAAAATTCTCAGAATTGAAATCACTCAATTATTATCTTGAGTGATAGATAATTGGCTAAGGTGATCCTTGGATGGTCCTCTGACATTTTAGCTGGTCTCCTGATAAGTTGCGCCCACACTGTTTTCAAATTAAATAAATAAATAAATAAATAAATAAATAAATAAATAAATAAACAAAACAGATAAACTGAAAATAAGAATTTTGAGATAGATGATGTGTTTTAGTATCATTGGAATGCTCGCTAAATCCTTAATTTAGAAACAATTTTAAGTTATTACTCACTTCACAAAATACTCACAAAATTACAACACAATGAAAATTGTTTTTAAATAGATAAAACAGACACTATGCGATAATTACTTAGAGAGAAGTTGTTGAAAGCTGTCATCGTCCTCTGAAAAATCTTCTAAGTCAAGTCGGACAGTTTCCAGTTCATCATCCTCCTAAATAAAGGGATAAAACTCATTGTAAGTGGGGTGCCTATACATTTTAAAACTCGGTAAAAATAGATTAAATTAACGTCTAAGAAAGGTATAACAATCAAAATCTAATTATCTCATTTTTATACACATTCCCGTTTAAATTTTTCCATACAAATATTTCATTATGTCTAATATCCTTGAGATTCAGTTTTCCATTATTGTCTGTTGGACTTTACAAGAACTAAGTTTGAGCAAGCTTTAGAGCTGTTTTAAGATCATTTTGTATATTCATACTTTCAATATCACTGAATGTTTACTAGGACCTTAGTTCTCATGTCTCTTATTTTCAAATTTCCTATGTTGAAAGTGGTAACATGAGCACATTTAATTTGATAAAGAAAAAGATACTATTAGTTACACCACATTTATAAAGCTTAGTATCTCTTATACCACCACCATATGAGCAAAATTTACATAAATTATAGTTTGTTCAAACCAGAGTATGTGTGCATGTTATTGGGAAGAGTGAAAGCAATTGTCTGGACAGCCATGTCCTTATGTTCACTAATATTTCCAAGTGGATAAATTACTTGATTAATAATTTAACAATGTATATCAGTTAATTTTGCTTTTATTTCCAGGTGAAAGAACAAGGTTCAGCTAGCAATTTTTACACATCTATGTTGTCATAAAAATTTATATAAAATCTTGATTATTCAAATTATTTAGGGCCCCAGTATCACTTTACTTATGGCTAACATACACACCGCAAAGTGCAGTATCCAAAAAATAAATCAAATGGAGAATGATAATTAGGAGTTTACCGTACATTATTCAATTAAGTGTCTATATATGAAGGTGTACAACTTTTCCCTTCCCTCTTGTATCTCTCAAACTACTGTACACTTTCACGGCACATGTTCTATAATTCTTCTGGATTTATTTACACTGACATTCCAATGTGTTTAACAACTTTTGTCAAGTTTGACATATTGTGTTCCAGTGATTTGCCTTGTACTCTCACCAATACATGGTCAGATATCATAATTTTGTGCACTGGTGACATATTTACAGAATCTTGCATCATGTAATACTACATTAGTGAATCATAACTTAGCCAAATGCAAAAATACCTAAGAGAATCATACTAAATATATATACTCACCTAAGGTATCAAATTCTAAACTATCCTAACCTGCATATTTATATCGTGTTTTATAGGTTAAAAATTTCTATATTTAATGGGTTAGAAGGTTTGGCTAATGGTAATCTAAATCTGAATCTGTTACAGTACATGATTTGCATAAGAAAATCATGATAATAGCGTAGCATGTAATTTTTATAATTATGTACTATATAAATCTGTTTTATATAGTACATAATTATAAAAATTACATGCTACGCTATTATCATGATTTTCTTATGTAAATCATGTACTGAAATTTTTGTAATCCCAATCATAAATGTACCTAGGTTGAATAATATGAAACATCAAATGTTGGTGAAAGCCCAGCAGATCTACAAAATAGGTACAATATTATAAAAAACATCAGTTTGTATTCCTAATTTACATTTGTAGTTCATAATCATACTCAAGATTTTGCAAATGAGTAGAGTATTTAGAAAAAAATCCCTGCATTGCTACAGGTAACTGAAGAAAAAGTGCATTCTGGCTTGTAAACTTCAAAGTAAACTCTTAATTATTTTTGGGGAAAAAAAACTCTCCTGCAACATGCATATATACATATACTGTACAAATAAATATCCACATCCAACTTCACACACACATACACAAAGAGTAGCAAATCAAAACATTTTTAGTACAATTTTTAGATCTACTGAAACTACAGACAATATTCATATATATATTCTGTATATATCGTACCCCTTTTGTTCTAAATCTTGCTCAAACTAATACTTGCAAGCATATTATTAATACTTCTACTTACAGTTACTTGTATTTACAATATTTACAATATTTCTAATATGCACTACATTTTGTTAGTGGGTTAAATTTACCATGACCTGCAAGAGAGAAGTCCCTGTTAACTAGGTTAGTAATGTATGTTATGTGGCACTTATAAACTAAACCTGGCTTACATTGATACTACTCAAGCACAGGAGTGTAGGATATGGGGTAATCAGAGGGATGGTATGAGGTTAGAATGCACAAATGACGTTGGACAATAAGTGTTTTATGAAGTACATTTAAAATTGTTTCCCACATAAGTGTTGGTTGAGCTTCACTAACAAATTTACAACTCAAGATGTCTAATGCCCTTAAATTTATGTAGTTTTATAAGATGTAACGTTGAATTTATTTGTGATGGAGACTGATTAAAAGCTAAGTAAATGTACAGAACAGAAGACAGGACAGGGTGTGGGAAGTGCAGTAACCCACACAAACAGCAACAGGATCCAGTAGCATCCCAAACTTTACCGGGTGCAGGAACTTACTGTCCAAGAGCACGAACGACCAGTTTCAAGCTGGGCTGTGGGCGAGGGCCATGGTCGGCTACAGAGGGGGTTGGGGTAGCCCTGATGCATGCAGGTACAAGGGTAATGATAAGACTGAGGAGAGTAATGTGAAGACTGTGGGGAGCACTGAGGACTCTGATAAAGCTGGTGTGGTGAATGACCATATGGGTGATGTGATTTTGGTGAGTAACGAAGGTGTTTAGGACTTTTGGGAGATAAAGGAACATAATGAGATATATGGGGAGGCGAATGATAATAATACTTTGGAGATCTTGGGGAAACACGAGGTATTTCTAGTGTATAATGTGGGTTGTATGCTTCTGTAGGTGACATATTTGTTGGAGATTCATGTAGAGGCTCATATAAAGGATCATCTTCTTCAAAGCCTTCTTCACTACTAGAGCTTGAGTGACAGTAACTTCTTTGGCGATGTATTGGCATACTGCCTACAGCTTGCCATGAGCGAGAGTCTTCTGTATGATAATGCTGAGTCACTCCAGAGCCTCCTTGAATGGTATAATATACATCATCTTGGAAAGCTGGAGTATGAGGAGTGAGAAGACGACCAGATGACTTGGCACGAGGACTCGCACATGCATGAGATGGTGTATGAACAGTATGGTAAACAGAGTCCTCAACACTAATACTGAGTCTGTCCTGTCCAGTTAATCTTCGTAGAGCTGGGCTACGTTTTATATTTGATGTAAGCATGCTAGGCTTTTGAATCTCATTAAAATTCATGCCGTTGCCTGCTTGAAATGAATGAAAGTGTGGTGCAGAATTGTTTGCATCTCCAAGTTCCCAAGAAGATTGTGACAATCCTGAATCTCTGGTAGCAGCTAATCCCAAATGCTGTAAGCTGCTCACACTTTTTGTGCGGGACAATGGACTATACGAACTAAAAGCCCTTTTTTCACCAAAACGGTTTAATGATTCTCGTGACTTATGCAGAGCTTCTTTGGACTGTTTAACTTCATCAAACAAATTACCCAAGTCTATAATGCTACTACTTCGATCCAACCAGTTAATACTTCCTGCATTCTTTATTGGAGACTTTGGAGGCGAGTTTCTAGGTGGAATAGGAGGAGGAATTGGACTGCTGAGATTACTTGTTGACTTGGGCTTTATCAGCCGATTTGGGCTTAATGAAGCAGTTGATGATGATGAAAAGGGGGAAAGGTAACATTCTTTTCTTTTACAGTCTTCAGTCTGTACCTCAACACTCTTACTACAATGTAACCTGTAAGCACTTTTGCCTGACTCAGTATCAGGTAATGAGCCCCACACTTGAGTGTCAGCATCACAAGATGCACTTCTTGGAAATTTACATTTGTCTGAAAATGCTTTGTTTGTTTCAGAAACTTTGGGAATTGCACCTCCTTCAACACCATGGGACTTCTTTTTTACAATATCAATCAGTCTAGAAGGCAACCTGAGAATAGGTGGTGGCTCATGTGGTGGTGAAGAACTTGAAGACGTAGGCTGCAGTGGCTGCTCTACAATTTGAGATAATGTCTGGATTCCTTGTACCGTTGAACTGACAGGGATATTAAAATTAGTAGTTTTACTATTTTTAAAAGCATCGACCTTCGTTTGCTGGTTAGTAGCACTTGATTTACTGGTGGGAGTAGTTCGGATCTTATTGTCAGTTGTATTGGAATAGTGAGGACGTGGTGTGGCTGAGGGAAAAGAAGAAACCCCCTCATATATAGGTGTCTGCATGGGAAGGGCAGAGGAAGAGGATGAAGGCTGGGACTGGGGCTGCCACCTATCGCCAGGGGGTCTAGTAACAACCTATAGAAAGCAAAACAATTCTTAGTGTGCATCTTAATGATCACAGCATCATCTTATCATATGAAACTAAAATTAATACAACATCATTAATTTTATTTTGAAATACTGTACCATGCAACTCATCCAATCAAATCATTCATGCAACTATGAATTTATTGAAATTTGAATCATGCATAAATTATAATATTTCAAACTGCCTCTAAACAATAGAGGCAATTTTTTAATATATGATAAGTTTTGCACAAAGCAAATCAAACAAAATCCTACAACAAAATCAGACCAATATAATAAGCTGCACACTTAACAGAAATAATAAAAATAGTGAAGTAGCTTGAAGAAAAAAGGAACCATGGGAAAATATGGCTTCGGAACATGGAACCTGCTGTAATATTACACAAGAAAAATACTGTACCAGAATGCAGTATAACCAACTGTCAGTTTAAACAAGTATAATACATACACCACTGAACTGGCTGCCTTCCAAGGTTGGCACGTGATCTTCAGTGGAGTTGGTCGAGGAGTGGTGTTGACCAAACGTGTCGACATGAGGTGCTGGGGTAGCTGGAGTGGTGGCCGGAGTGTCCTCGGAGACAAATGATGATGTCATGGAAGGAGGAGCAGAGGGAGTGATGGAGGGAGGGTCTGAAGGAGTACCACCCTATAAAAGGAAAAATATTGGATTATTTGTAGGAGATTCAAATTGACATCTTGGTGAAAAAATATAATCAAACAATATTTTTCACAAAGCTTACTTTCAATTTAGAACTAGAAAAGGAAGGTACCCACAGCTTCCTATACTGGCATATCTCATTATCTATTAACATTATGAAATACTATACAAGGCTACCTTGAAAAATCAAAACATGATAAAGAAATCTTACAAATCTGGAATGATTTTGCCACCAGAACATCGTGATCATGGGTACAAATTATTAAGTTTCAATAAATTGAATCTACTTACCAATAAAAGCAGATTTGATGTTCAAAAGTAAAACCTGTTTCAATTACTGTATATTTAAAGGAAGGGCCCAACTCAGTAGTTTTCCTAATGCTACAACCTGCAAACATCCAGGCCTTGGAAAATACAACAGGCCTCTTAACAGTCAACGAGCCGCGATTGAGGATCAGAAATAGAATCTAGCCCTTTCAATGAGGCATGAGATTAGAGAACCACGAAAGCAAGGAAAATCCACCAGTAAGTAAACCAAGCTCCAAAACAAGCAACTGTTGGAAACCTTTGTAACCCTGACAATTCTTACATTAGTTCATGTCCAAGATTATACACTGCTAATACGAAAAAAGCATACTCCATATAATTAAGCATACTGTGTCTATGTACACACACACACACGTGTAGATATAATAGAGCCCAATAGGCTCAGGAACCTGTACACCTGTTGAGAGGCGGGACCAAAGAGCCAGAGCTCAACCCCCGCAAGCACAACTAGGTGAGTACACACTTTATATAGTTCTGTACATAACACTTCCACAAAATTTCACTATGATTAAAACATAAAATAACCTAATTATATTGAACACATTTAAAGAAAAGTGAGGTGTGACTTTGGGTGGGGGTTAAATTAAGAATTCAAATGGTATTTTATTTATCACATACAATCATATTCTATGGTCGCCGACAAATGGTTGCATTTAGCACTTCAAAACTTTGTTTCTACTTCCAGCTTTTCTGGGTGACCATTACAGGATGTGAAAAAATATTCTAGCTCAAAAATCTGGTATAAGCCAGATTGGCCACAACTGCTCTACCAGTGAAAGGGTTAAAGGAACAAGTTACCCAGTGACAGCGTGGATTGATTTAGCCATAGCCTCATTTACATATATACAGCTAAATTGATTTATGATTGTGAAATAATGGTGTAGTTTCACAATATTCATTTATGCAAGGGTGATGGTGAGTCCCTTATAAATGATAATGAAAATTAACCATTTTCCTACACCTAGTAATAATAATAATGTTGTTCTGGACAACAGTGAATATTATTTCTCTGGCACATGTTTGATGCCTCAGTGCCATGAAAATTATTTGATTCTTGATTTTATTTCTTAGCATTATTCTTTGTTGATAGAAGAAGATATGACCAATTGTTGAATGTTTGTAAAACATCGTTTGGACAATTTAAATTAGACAATTTCTAGTTAGACCCTGACAAGCAGGTATAAAGAAGTTGATCCTTGGCATCTTCAATAGCCAATGTTGAATCACAGATAAAAAGAGAGTCCCAGGTGAGCTGTAATGTGGTTGGTAAGTGTTGGAAACAGAGGTGGTCAGCTTAGTATAATGTGACAAAATTCAATGTTACCCAGTGAAGTGTTGGAGCTTATTGGGGTCAATACTTATTAAAATACTTGGCTAAGAGGTTTAAGAGAGTGATATATCTACTGAGACCTTCGAGGTTTTAGAATGAGAAGAAACCCATGTGATACTGTTGATGTGTGGTAAGTAAACAAACAAGATAAGGTCCAGTGTACATCAGTAATTAATGAGAAGTTCACTCAATATAACTGAGTGTTTTGTATCCAGGTGAGGTCTCCAAATAGGTCGAACTTTGTACACAAATATTCAGTGGTCCAGGCCGACCCAGGACATTACACGTGATGATACTGTAGGTTAGGCAGATTCATTTACTGGTCCCAAGCGAAGCAAGCGAAGTGACCTACAGGCAGTTGCTCAAGCCAAAAGGGTCACGCTGAGGTATGGGAACGTAATATTTTGGGGCCCTTACCAAGGTTAGGAGCAGTTGCTAGACGGAAGCTGACTGAGGATCTGAAGGCAGCAGGGAACGTGTTGAAGAAAGGCATATGGGAAGACAGCAGCATAAAGTAAACGGAGCCAGGGTCTGTGCAGGAAGAGGAACAGGCATCTGCAAAGGTGTACGATGTGAGAGAGATTCAGGAGGGCCTGTGCAGGGCTCAACCTCAGGGTATGTGGGATGGTTACCCGAGAAAGAGATGAAGAGAGAAATGGAAACAGAACGAGAGATCAGGAAAGCTGATACTGAATATAAAGAGAAAACTCAAATGAAGCTCAGGACAGAAGAAATTGAGCAGAAATTTTAGAAAAGAGTTGGTCTTCAGGTAGAGTGGCAGAACTAGTAAGTTGGCCGAGGAACAATTTGGCAGTACCGGTTAACTGGACAAGAAAAGAAGATCTACACTAATCTCACCATAGACGAGTGTAGAAACTACGAGTTGATAAAAAAGCCAATTCCTTTGAGATTGTTCTGACAATTATAGAAAGATATGCCAAGACATAAAATGAGATGGAAGGAATGATAAATAAAGAACTACCTGGAGGATCAATCAGATACTGTATCCAGTTCCTCCTTGGCAATGATATTAGAGGAGACAAGGTCCTGATTTAGCAAAGTGGACCAAGAATGGGAACTGCTCACCCTTGACTAGCATGTGTGCTTCCCCACAATTTCTAGAGGCTGTCTTCTTGAGATGATTTCGGGGCTTAGCGTCCCCGGGGCCCAGTCCTCGACCAGGCCTCCATTTTGTTAAACATTCCCAGGAAGCAGCCCGTAGCAGCTGTTTAACTCCTAGGTACCTATTTAGTGTTAGGTAGCAGGGGCATCAGGGTGAAAGAAACTCTGCCCATTTGTTTCCGCCTCCATCAGGATTCGAACCCGGAACCTCAAGACTACAAATCCGAAAAGCTTTCCACTCAGCTATCATGCACCCAGGCTGTCCTAGTAAGAAAAATAAGCCTCAACATTATTGCTCCCAAAATAATCAAGTTCTCTTTCTGGGTAGATTATTACTTAAGGAGTTTCAACGAAATCAAAGAAGCATGTTTATTTCAGTCTTATTTAAGCAGTTGATGGATGTGTGCGATGTAGAGTAGAGGCTGTCATTGCTAAATCATCCCGCGGAGCCTTGGAATAAGCTCGTCAAACAGTAATGGATCTTCAAGATATAATGTACTGAGTAGCTAAACAAATGAGATAAGGTCATTTACTTCATTATGTTTGTCATACAAGATGTAGCAGTGGAATACCTCAACTCAGCACCATTCAAGCTGGTTCTTGGTCAAAGTGTGTGTTAGTTACCAATAAAACTGATAGGCTAGTCAAGTAACATGGAGATTTGTACTTGACTAAACTGAGAGGAAAAAACAGTACAGAATTTGAAATTTCCAAATTTTCAATAGTGAAAATACTACCACAAGTGTACGCAATTAAACACATTCTTAACCACTGCACTGCGCCACCCGACATAAGATGGGGTATAGCGGTGCTCCACCAGATTAGGGAACGATGTTAGGATATCGTGAAATTCAAAATGCGCACGCGGTGGGTTGATTACGAGATGGAGGCTTGAGGCCTCCAGTGAGCGACAGCCATTTTGAAAAAAATTCCCAGCATGCCCTAGAGCCATGGGTAGGCTCAGTTCTGATTAAGCAACCATGGCTGACACATGTGCCTCCAGCTCCCAATCTCCTGTTGGACAATGTGTTGAAAGATTGCTGTCTGAAGGGAAAATTCGGACATTATTAGTTGAAGAGAAAAGGGTAGTGATATTGGTGAACCAAGGCACGATAAAGACCTAACAAGTGTCCGATACACGTTATACAGACACTGATGCAAACGATACAGCGAGCGTGCCCTGTACAGGGCAAACACTACACATGATGTGACCTCACAGGTCATTACCCGAGCCAGTATTATAACAACCTGTGTCTTCCCCCATTTTTGAAGAAAGTGATACTGTAGATCAATCATTTTCTGGGTTCAGTGATGCTGCTTACTGCTTAGAAACTGGGTGCTGTGTGATGTGATCTTGGAGAAACTATTTACGACTTTTGTGAGACCAAAATTGGAATTTGTATAGTACCCATATCTGAAGAAGCACATCAATAAACTGGAAAAGGTGCCAAGACATGCTACAAAATGGCTTCCAGAACTGAAAAGTTATGAGGAGAGGCTAGAGGCATTAAATGTGCCAAAACTAGAAGGTATTAAAAAAAGAGGTACTGAATATGACCACTACATACAAAATAGTAACATGACAACAAAATTGACAAGGAGGAATTCTTGAAACCTGCAACCTCAAGAACAAGACATCATAGATTCAAGTTAAGGAAACCAAGATGCTAAAAAAATACTAGAATGTTCTCCTTTGCAAAGTGGTAGACAGTTGGACCCAGTGAGAAAGCTGTGGATGCCAAAACTATCAGTAGTTTCAAACCATCATACGATAGAGTAATATGAAGATGGGACACCACGAGCATAGCTCTCATCCTGTTACTACACTTAGGCAAGTGCACTTAGGTTAATCCACATATACTGTGCCATTCATCACATCTTTCACACTAACAAGCATGTACAAAAATGAAATATAATTTTATAACTTCCCACCTGTGAATTTTCACGAATGAACACGTGAGGATGAGATTCTGACAACCCCGGTGTCAGGGCAGAACCTCCCAAAACACCTTCTCCAGATTCTGTTGACTCGGACACTTTGGTGACTGCAAAACGTCCACGACGTACAGGAGAACTAACTGGGCTACTGCAAGTTGATGTGTCTGATGCTATAAAATAAAAAATATATAAATATAAGCAAAGCTGTTCTCAATAAACAAAATTAATAAGAAAAATTATGCAATCTAAGTATATAATTATTAAAGTGCGAGTCCAGCACATTTAACACTACCTGTATATAAACAATGTTTCAAATGCTGCTATACAGTACAGAATATGCAATTTACAATACATATTAGAAGTATAATAGCCAAAGTAAGTTTTTCTTAATACCATCCTTATATAAATATATGTAGTGATTAACATATGAACACCAAGGAATGTTAATGAGAAATGTAGAGATCAGACAGAGCCAAAAGGGCTGGAAACCAAGGCTCAGCCAGCCACACCAAGGAGCTAGAAGGATCACCCTACCAGCATAAGTCTCCAGTCTGGACAAATCCAGGTGCAAGAGAATGGAATACCAACTAGCTTACAATTGTGTGGTAGTGAGTGCACATCAAAATGTTGGTTTCTCTCACGAGTGCACAGAGTGCACCAAAGCTAACTCGGTTAATATGTACTGTAGGTGTACATTGTTGGGTGTCATTGGACAGTGGATTACATCAGCTGATAGAATATAGTATGGTGGCCACCATAGGAATTTTGATAAGTTACACCCACTGTAATGACTATTACAGTAGAAATCCTAAGGATGAAAAAACAACTTATAGAGGCAAGTGGCAGTCAGGGAGAGTTGTGGTCGGGTCGGTTCTCACCATCTGTGTAAACACCAGCCTGCTTGACTGGCGTCACAAAGTACCATGTGACCCAATGAAGACTTGTGATTCATGGAAGCATTGCATCATGCCTCTTCCTGATTAGCTCTTTCAAAGAACAGAGGTGACAGCATATACTCGTGCCTAGGTCGCTCGTGGACAGGTTATTCTGAACCGGTCGCCAGCTTTGTGAAGTCGTGTAATCCCGTAGTTTCAATCAAAGCTACGAGAAACACCGTCTAACGCGACATTAAGTTAACTATTTCATCATTCCATTCCTTGGGGCTTCGTCCCTCAGAATCCGTTGTCGTGACAGATTGGATTATCAGTATTACGAGTGAAACGAGAGATTGTGAGATATAGTACCACCACGTGATCTAAGCAGAGTGATATAGACTGCAGTGTTAGATCCGTGATCATTGTCAGCATCCGTAGCGATCCATCAACATATTGCTAGGATAGCTGACTACAAGGGAATAAGAAAAGGTTTCCCAGTGATCTGTGAGTCCTTCTATTCTATTCAGTAATCACAGTCCTTGATTACTGTGTTTATTTGATAGTCATTTGTGATTATTAATTACTTTATTATTATAATTTTTTTACATTATGATTGTGTTATGATTTGGTGCTGTGTTTAGATTAAGCACTGTGAAGTGTAACCTAGTGTTACCGTGTTCTGACTGTCTGCGTGACAAGGAATTTCTGTAATCTTTAATCATTAATTGAAGAATCAGTAAAGTTAATTAGTTGTTGCTGATAGCTGTCCATTGAGGCAGAGTAATTAATGTAATCAAGTGAGGTGCCATATTGGGATTTGGCAACCTATCTAAGAGTGATAGCAGCTTATAAAGAAACTATACAAATTATATCTTTTCATTACATTAAACAAACCACATACTCACTTCTTCTTACAGCTTCTTCAACCACCTTTGTGACTTGGAAACGTGAGGTTCGATTTTGCTTGGTATCACACTGGTCTTCAGAATCTTTAATGGAGGGTGTCCGAGACAGGGATATATGACTTCGAACTGGTGCAGGGGATACTGCAGCAGGCCTCCAGGCATAAGCTTCTGCAGAGCCTACCGAGCTCAAACCAGCATTTTCTAGACGAAGAGGCACCATGGCTGAATAACCCAGTGGTGGATGGCAGCCAGACTCCATCATAACTTGAGACACTAATGCTACAGTCTCCCCTCCTGGTAATCTCACAGTCTGTGGCAATATCATACTTGTGTCTACAGACCCATCTACAGAGGCATGAAGTCCTTCTCCATGGGCTACCGTGTTTGATCCCATCATTGTGAGGGGTATTCCACCAATAGTTGATTGAGAGGCATTCAAAGATGACTGTGGGTACACTTGCTGTAGACCATCAATGGACGGAGATCCAGTGCTGACATTTTCCTGTTATAAAAATTAAGTTATTATTGATCCTGATTTTGATAAATCATCCAATCCTTAAATCCTAAATGTTGACTCAAATTCTCAATTACACTGGAAGACCAGGTCCCTAATTCACACTCTAAAATAACAACATAAAAGACTAAAAAATACAGGAGGAGATGCAGAATAGAACCAGTGAGGAGTAGAGATCCCATAGGCACAGTCAAAAAGCACTATATGATCATCAGAGGTCCATGAGGTCCCAGCATGCATAAGAAATATTGCCAGAACAAAGCTGGATTTCTTCAAGAAACAATTAGATAAGCGTCTGCAAGAAGTGCCAGACCAACTGGGATGTAAAGGTGGGCTGCTGGCTGCTCCAAGCAACAGCCTGTTGAGCCAAGTTATGACAAGTTAAGCCTGGCCACAAGCTGGATTAGGGAGCAGAAAAACTCCTGGACCCCCCCCCCCTCCCCCTCGAGGTAAACTCCAGCTGTACTGTCACATTACAAAACTAAACAAGTTTAATTGTATATGTATATACAATATGTATATGCAATGTATATAAAATGCAAAGAATATTTCTCTGCATTTCTCTAGCTCACTTGTGTTTCCAGTTTCCACCAATGTCCCTTCGTTATGTTATCACATGTGGAAGAATGCTCAGTCTATTCACTCTGTGTATCCCCCCCCTCAGTATCTTGTGATCATATAAACCTTTTCTTGTTCTCTCTTGCAATGTCATAAGTTTTACAGTACTTCATTAAGCATTTTCACATAGTTTATTCTTCTTATTTCTGGTGCTGGTCATACTGCAAATGTTTAGACCTCAATTTTCTTCTTATGGTTTACCAGGTGTTGGTTACATGCTGGACCTGAATACTTTAAGACTGGTATAATATTCTGAATTATCCCCTTGGTCAGGTGAAAGCCATCCTTATATTTACTAGTCTTGCATATGCAGCTGATGTCAATCTCTTAACACATGCCTCTGGTGTTAAGGCTGGTGTTTCATTCACTCCCAGGACCTTTTCCCATTTTGATTAATATAACTACATACTTTGCTAACTGTACTGTCCTTCGAATCTCATTCTCTCTCTTCCAAACCTCATTATTTTACATTCTGCGGGATTAAATTACAGTAACCAGTTGTCTTATCATTTTAGCATCGTCTGCATACATTGACATGTACAATCCTACCTCCTCCAGATGGTCATTTACAAAAGTACCGAACAATTATGGTTGAAGACTCGAGCCTTGCAGGATACAGTTTCCCACTTCCCTCCTGTCTCGCTATCACTCCCTCATCACAACCCTCCGTTTTCTATTTGTCACACACTATTTCTTAAATGTTAAAGGCTGCATACACAAACTCTGAAAGTTACTTAATTGCATAAAAACCTACCTCATGTCCATGGTGGGCTAATGTGAGGTGAGCACCAGGCACAAGCTTTTGTAACTGTTCTCTTAAATGCTCTAAATCCATTCTGCTTCGCTGTCCTGAACCAGTGGGCACAGCCAACATTACTCCATGAGGAAGTCCTAAAGCAGCTCCAGTCATGCCCATACCTACAGTAAATTAATTAATATTCACATTACTGGAATAATGTACAGTATTAAAAATAAACTAGAAATATATTTAATAAACTTTAATATTATAATACATTTATGTATTGAAGAACCTGGCTATCCATAGTGTTGCACTGTGATGCAGCTGCAACACATTTAATATTAATATGGGAGTATTTCTTTTAACTGTTATTCACTGTTACTTTGTCTTTATTAATATATACTAGAAATGCTTTTGTATTTAAATTTGTATTAGCTCTTAGCAAAGTGTGATCACATGTTTTCAAGAATATTTCTTGGTACAATGACACCTTGACTGAACAGGACTTTTACCCATTTTAACATTAGATTCCAGTTCACTGAGTGTCAACATTTTTCAGTATTTATCTGAATGTATATAAACAAAATATTGCACAACTTTTAGTAGATATGCAAGACACACACTGCAAAGATTAAACAGCATTTTTGTATTAGTATGGTTACTACTAAAAATCAAATACATATAGGTATTATTTTGCCAAAATTGGACAGGTCTACCAATGAAGATGGGGTGATTATACAGCCCATCCTCCTAAGGTTTCCCAACATCAAGAAATCGATAAATTTAAAGTGTCCTCTCCTAACTTACCAGGAGGACCCAAAACAGGAAAAGGGACAATACGTCACTTTTGCGAGCCGCTTCCATTTTCTAATATGACAATTTTTGGCCTTATGTAACGCATTCCAGCAAAAAGTTATATTTTTTGTAAGGGGACAGGTTGATTATACTGTTTTCCAGTTCACCAAGACTATGACCATTAGTCCCATTTTTCCAAACCCACCAAGGGTTCAGGTCCACTGTAATAGTCTAGCAAGGTTTAATTGTATGCCATACATTTTCTTTAAAAATAAATCTAAAAGGAAAACAGAACAATTTGACTTAAAAAAAAGTAGTTGTAAAGATCAAACTTTCCAAATACAACATAATTAAAAATAGTAATCTTCTCATGGGGTGAAATTACTAAACTAGTACAGTATAAATAAAAAAATGTTTTTAAATAATTGATATGAAAAACTATATTGTACTCCATAAAAAATAAACTGGATCTTCATGACTAACAGCAAAAATCTGTGCATCCTAATATAGGCATTTATTTGCCAGTCCAATTAATTTGGGTATATTTTTAACTTAAGAATTATTCGTCCCCTTCACCTCTTCATACTCCTAATTTGAATTACTGCTTCCCTTTCTATATACAGGATGTATAATCTCTTTTTATAAATAAAAATTTTCCAAATCAATATACTGTACATCAGCTATATTCATAAATCATCTACTTTCCACAAGCATAATTAAAACTCAACTCGGCATTAATATATAAAAATTCACTCCAAAAAGTATTAACATAACATATCTAGGATAATGTTGAAATACAAACAGTATTTAGGAAGAGAATCGTCAATAGCAGAAACTGGAATTTATTTTTCCCCAAGGGTAGAACCACTGAAAATATAAATATTATCATCAGTTTTGTTAGGTAAGCTGGTACTCACCAGAGGTCATTCCTGCAGGCATAGTTGATGGTGCTCCACTTGCCAACCCCACTGGTGTTGGCATACACATAGATACTGGAACTTGTAATGGAAGATCTGTTCCTGGACATACTGCAACATGGCCACCATCTACAGCTATGTGACCAGACACTACGGGCATATAACCAGTTTCTACACCAACTTGACCACTTTCTCCAGTTACTTGACCTGACTCTCCAGCCACCTGGCCCAATTCCCCAGTTATGCAACCTGATTCGCCAATCACTTGTTCAGACTGTGGCACAGACTGGTTGGAATCCTCATGTCCAGTTTGTGCTGTTGATGCTCCCACTTCAGACAGGTTGACAGCAGAGCCAGACATCTCTGCTTGTAATGAAATCTGTTGCAATGCAGTAGGGTTAATGGCAGGCTGTGGTATTGGCTGGAAATTTGAGAACATGTCTGCATTGATAGGCATTCCAGCTGCATCAACTGGAACTGGAGGGGTTCCCAAAACATTGGCAACTGGTGCTGCAGGTGCAACACCACCAGGCATAGGTGCAGTCATAAGCACACCAGCTGGGGCATGCAGACCGTGTAATACAGCAGGAGTAACCAAAGGTGTTCCTACGGATTCACTTGGAATGGCAGGTGTAGCCACTCCTCTTCTTTCATCAATTCCCATACTCAAACCACCCTGTAGTGATACATCACACATGAAGTTATTTGGTCTGTTGTAATGACAATAATGCATTCATTAACCTAAGTATTTTCTGCAATATAAAAACTATTATCTGCTTCAGTACAAAATAGAATACTGCAATGGAAAATAAAATGAGATATCTAATAGCTAAATTAAATATTTTAAATAAATTTTTAATTAGAATGTATTATACGCTTGAAAATTACCATTTAAAAGCACATCCAATAAAATAAAAACTTAAAAAAGCAAGCAAAATCTTAAACAAATGTACAAAGCAAAGCATATTATTGCAAGCATTAATGCCCATATAAACATCCATTGAGCAATACCCAAGATAATCCTTTACCCAGATGTAAACAAATGGAGATAATACAAATAGGTTTACCAATACAGTACAATGTGGCCATTACCCAGAGAAATGCACGAGAAACCACCTTAATTACAAATTAATAATATAATAATTAGTTAACAAACATGTACGCGTGTTCGTTTGTATTAATATAAAGTACTGTACAGTATCACTTTACAATCTATATATCAGTATCACTATAACCCAATAAGAGTTCTAAGTGATTTATGGCTTGGAGAGCCCATTCTAGCTTGTTTCATAGTACTGTACAGTGTATGTAATGTATTTTCCTACTTATGTCAACAAGATATATAGATTAAGCTCCGGTGCCCAACTTCTTAGCAATTGGGTACCAGGTGTATTTCTTTCTTTTGATATTGTAATAACTCAGTCACAGTTGCTCTTAAAAGTTAGATATGGTGTTGGCTTCCATCAACTCTGCTTTTAGATAATTCCACTTACATACTAAATCTTAGATAACATACTTTCTTGCATTTCTCAAATGCATTTGTGCTTCCAGCTTCATATACTGTATAGCCAATAATAACCTCTCTAATCCTTCCTTCTAATACTATCAAATTGAGCTTCTTTAGAATATCTGCACAGTTAAGATTTTCCTCTCTGACTGGTGTTCTAACATCAGTCTTACAGTACAGTGTATCTTAATTTTCATGTGATTCTAATCTGTTGTAACATACTATAAGCCTAGTGTAACATAGGGTGTGTGAAGTGTTCTCAATTATTCACCACCTTGGCTTTTAAACATCATCTGTTTTGACATATTTACCTAAGCAGCTGGTTTCATTCTCTTTGTGGTGTGTTTTAATTTAAGGCATTAAATTTGCTGTTACGTCCATATCTAGTTTGCAAGTGAAACAAATGAGGCATTGTTCACTGCCTATCTATTCTGTACTGGCAACAACTGAGAATTTACGGCATGAGAGCTATGCTCATGGTGTCCCATTTTTTTCTATTGGGGTGGATACGATCTCTCGATCGTCGTCGCCCTTCAACCAACAACATTTTGAGAGAGAGAGAGAGAGAGAGAAGAGATATTGATCGATTGATTTATATGTATAAAACTGTCAAAATTATAGTAGTAAATATATCTCCACGTAACACACAACTAACTTGCTGCATTAGCTCACGTGAATGGCGTTACGCCATTAAGAGAATTTGACGTGTGTTCCGCAAAATACATTTTTCTTACTTTATTACTGTAAATATTTCATACCTCTTATCAATAACTGGGTAAATTAAAGGTACACGTTACAACAATATTCATCACAACGATTTATTAAGTGAGGTTCACCTGTATGCAATAGAAAGGCAGTGGGTAAGGGGCAGAGTCTAGATAATGCAGTGTAGGATTGGTACAGGCAAAAGCAAGAGATGAAAAAGTTGGTGTCAGGCTGGCTACAAATGAAAAAAACTAGCGTTGAATGCAATGAAATGCCAATTTCTGGTTGAGCCCTGGTGGCTCCCTGAAGCTACTACAGTACACTGATACAGTGCCATACTACTAGGTGCCATCAGTCACAAAGTTTTATTGGCTTACTGAGGACCACAAGCTAGAACCTCTCTGCCTCATAGAGGTGCAGGGAGTGGTGGCTGTATGAAAACCTCTTATGAAAAGTTAGTCATGTCTTCCACCACTACGGTCCACCACTATGGGAAGGCACCCAGAAAACCTGCTAAACAAAACACACTACTACTTGGTTAGAAACCAGACTGCAGCCTACCAAAAGATCCCCCCCCCCTAACAATATAAACAAATGATAAAAAAATTATGAAACTAGAGAGAACTAGTTCTCCCTACCTTTCCCCTCTTTTGGGGTAGGAAAAAGACAGACCGGGTCAGCAGGCTGCTCCACCTTCATTTCATATGATGATGGAAACCTCCCTGAAACAAAGAAAACCTCAAGCACAGAGCAGTCACTGCCTAATACCTCTGAACTTTAGGAGTGGGTAAGAAGAATCACATATGGGAAACAAGTCCTACACGACTCGGGGTCAAAGGTGTCCCCAACCTAGCAGGCAGCATGGGGGAGACAGAAAGTATGAAAGTCGCCAGGTGTCACAGATGACAAACAACCATCAAATTTGCACAAGGTGAGAGCGGGCTCGGAAGAAGTATTCATAGTACAACCAAGCCTGCAGGGGATTTCCAGGGCCTACAGGGGTGAGTGTTCCCTGCAGGAAGCCCAGGCACTGGGAATGCTATGCTGGTAACCCGCTGTATACTTGTACGGGCATTTCTGGATACCCGAAGTCAATGGGAGCAACAAGGTGGAATTAACCACACTAAACCTTAGGTGAAACTTAATAAAGGTAAAGCAGAAAAGCCCCCCAAGCAGAAAAAGGCAAAATGATGAAAACTGCCAGGCAGTTTTCAAAAGGCAAAATTGCCTTGCAAAATGACGAAAGGGACAGAAATGAAAGCCCAGAACTCCCGAGGACTCAACCATGGAGAATTAGCAACCAGCGAGAATCGTTGCACCAACCAGACATGTAAGCTAGAGGCCCACCACGGTGTGCTGGGTAGGTCACACAGACCACAGTGTGGCCCACCAGCAATAAGCACTACCGACACGAGGAAAGACAGTCAAAGCCTTACTTGAAGGGTGAGGGCCACCACAACCAAGAAGACCTTAAGGACATGTATTCCAAACACACCAAGGAAGATAACCCTGACTGTGCAAGTGCAGCACTTAAGGAGCACACAGGGAAGGGAACCATGAACACATGCAGCTCCAAGTGTACTTAACTCTTGATTCAAACTGCACAAATGTGCACAATAACAGCCTCAAAGGCAAACAACACTTAGCTAATGACAGGAGTCTGGAGCCAGAGCGAACTGAAAGGGCAATTAGCACAGTCTACATCAGTATAAGAACTGGTGGTAGACCAGCTGACCTGATCTGCCTCTCTTCTTCCAACAAATGAGGGGGATGGGAGATGCGGGGAACTAGCTTGCGCTAGTTTCACAAATTTTCGATCATTCGTTTACATTGTTAGGAGAATTCTTTTGGCAGTTTTGACGTTGCAGTCTCGTTTCTATTCAAACAGTAGTCTGTTTTATTTTGCTGACTTTCTGTGTGCCTCTCCTTAGTGGTGGGAGACATGAATAACTTTACATAAAAGGTTTTCATAGTGCCACCGCTCCTTGCACCTCTCTGAGGGGGGGCCAGGTTCTGGCTCGTGATCCTTTGACCAATAAGAACCGAGTGACTGATGGCACCTAGTAGTATGGCACTGTATATGTGTAGTAACTTCAGGGAGCTACAAGGGCCCACCTCACCTTTAAAACATGGAATTTCAAAGGAGAAGGAAAATTTTTGAGTAGCGTTTGTAAACTGTTGCATGACTCAAGAGCTTTAACATATTGGAAAGTAAAAAAAAAAAAAATAAAATAATAATAATAATAATAATAATAATAAATAAAAATGTACCCTGGTCGCTGGTTCAAATCTCTCAAATTATAGATATGTGTAGCTATGTTTTCAAACAATGGGTGTCTCGTTTTGATTTGGTCCCGAAGTGTCCTGGAAAGCATGCTGTCTCATTTGCGTACATGCATGTGTGCGTGCCTGTTTCATGCATATGGATATGTTTAAGAGAGGTCATGCAAAGAAAGTACAGGAAAACACCTTTACTTAATCCCATGATGCATCAATTTAAAGCCCTATGTAGCTAAATTGAGAACATTGGTTTGTAGGACCTGCATTATGGAACAGGTGTTATAAGTGGAGTTTAATTTTACCTGAGAGTGTGACAGCAAGGTCTGGCTCAGCGGTGGTATGGGGGGAGTGACCACGATGGTAAGGGCACCACCCGGTGGATGCATGTGGGGTGAGTCGTAAGGCAGCGGGAGGGTACGCAATCCCTCCGTGCCCTCAACCTCACATGCAACCTATGAACCACCAATGAGTCATGCACTACACGAGCTACAAAATTCATGATTTTTTTTCTAACAAATGAAGGATTTTACAAAGAAAATATTTAAAGGGAATAATTGGTTAAAATAAGCTTTGCCACATTTAATAAGAATTAAGAAATAAACTACAGATTCCACAGTTATAAATATTAATAACTATTTATCAATGAAAATTTAACAGCATCCTCTACAAGATGACTAATATTAAGAGAAATTATTTTAAATAATAGCTTACATGTTTTTTTTATATTAAAGGGTTATAGAGCTTAAAAGGTGACACTAAGTTTGAAGCACTATCACTACAAAGCCACACTTGATCAATATCACAGTAAAGGTTTGATGTTCCTTAGCATTTTATAAATAATGCAAAGGCAATTTAAATATAATTGTTACAGTATTATAAAGGGAAAAAAACTACTCGAATTAATATTTTAATAGATGCTAGAGAAAGGGAAATTACACTTACATATATATATTATTAATTAGGAAAAAGTATTTCTTAATATTAGCACAGTTTACATATATGGTATTATTCCATTTATATTTCTCAAAGAATATGGCTGGCTTATTTTACCAGCATTGACCCTTTAACTGCGGCACTTCCATTTACACCCCATACTCTTCATGGGGTCTGTATGTGGCTAAAAAACTAAAATTTAGTTAAAAAAAAATTCTATATCAAGAAAAAATTAATGGTGAAAGAAATATAAAATAAAACATTACTGTAATGAAATGCCATTTTCTGCTTGAAGAAAAGTAGGTACCTGAATTCAACAAGGTACACGATTGTTGCCCCAAGATACTTCCGATTCTTGCAGGTGTTAAGGTTTTGCATTTTCACCAAAGATGTGTTTGAGTCGCATAAATAACAGTTTCTGTCCAAGGTGCCAACACTTTTTCCCAGTCAGGTGTTTACAGTCAGGGATCAAGATTCCTCGTTTGCATATAGTGCAATTAATTGTCTGTCTATTTGTGGAATGGTCCTGGGTTCGATCCCAGGCACCGGCGAGAAACATTGGGCAGAGTTTCTTTCACCCTATGCCCCTGTTACCTAGCAGTTAAATAGGTACCTGGGTGTTAGTCAGCTGTCACGGGCTGCTTCCTGGGGGTGGAGGCCTGGTCGAGGACTGGGCCGCAGGAACACTAAAAAGCCCCGAAATCATCTCAAGATAACCTCAAGATGGTTGGTGTAGGTTATTTCCCTCATGCACGTGGGAGATTTTCTTGGGATTGTGTGTTTGGTTGGAATGTTATGGCTTTCTCTGCCAATTTCATGCTAGATATTGTTATTTCCAGGACTGGATTGAGAGTTCACCACTGACTCCTTTTATTCAAATATGGTCAATTAGGAGCTGTTTATAAAGAGTCTAACTACATTGAAGATTATGGTCACAGTGACCCCTGGCTGAGTCCAAGTCATGAGCGAGTTAGACTTTTGTCAAAGTGACTAATTCCCAGAACAGCTATAAACTATGCATAAATGAAGATGAAAATGTCACAGATTTCTTCACTATTATTCCCGCATCATAAAAAAAAAATCATTCTGATAATGTAAATACTGTAAACACATGTGCAGCATGAAGACCTGGCATCTCGAATCAAAACTAAATTAGTAAGATGTAACATCATATGAAATTTCAGCAAGCATTGAAACATACTAAACAAATAGCAAATTAAATAAAAATTAAATGTTAACACAAAATACAATATTGAAAAAGTTTTTGTTTAGTAATTTATTGATATATTAATTTGGTAATTTAGTAATTTAGTAAAAGTTTGGTTTAGCTAATAAACATTAATACCATGATTTATTGTAATTATCAAATCATCAACTTGTATTCTTTATAAAAACAAACATGAATTTTCCAATCAATTCTTCAAAACTAAATATAATAATTGTGAAAAGAAGTACAGTTGTGTTGCATTCAGTTGACAGCAGTATAAATTTAACAAACAATCATGCCACATGTTGAGCCATGAAGTTAATTCGCAGAAGATAAGATGGCGAGTATCTTCTGTACCAAAGACGTCACAAATATACACTTTTTTAACGCTGTCACTAGAAGTACGAGCACTAGAGCATAACACCGCATGTATCGTGCACCAAAACTAGCATCTTTTATTGGAGGACAATAAACACTATAATAACACCACAAGTCTCGTACATTAAGAATCCTCAAGAAAAACTCAACACCTAATTCTTTGCCAAATTATAACCTTTTTGAGCAGATCAAGTTATACTTTAATGAGAGTAAATATGTTATTTCTAGTTCTTATACAAATACATCAAAGTGTAGTCCTAATATTGCTGTGCGAGTGCCTCTTTTCCATTTATTCAGTAATGTGATCTCTAATTACTTCTTACTGTGTTAGGAACACCAGCTAGAATGTATCCAATTAAATGCTACTGAATAAACATGAAACTGCTATTCTTTTATTCCTTCTTTGCCAATTAATTTATTTGTTCTTATATATACTTCATTTTATGTACAGCTGTAATCAGTAATTCCCTTATTCCAGTAGCCTAATTAGCAAAAATCCCTAATCCTATCTTGTTTTAGTTTTCATTCAACAATTAGTAAGTCATTACAAAAGTGGATGATTGACATGGATGACCAGGAGAATCGATAAGAAATTTGCCAGAATTATACTGTAACATGTAATGCCCAGCTTTACAGTGATTAAAAAACTGGTTTAGATAAGATTAGGAAGTCAGAATATTACAATTGTACCTTCTTGTAAATATATATAAAGAACCTAAGTGTATCTGCAGCTAGATGGATGAGTATAGTAACAGTAAAGAAATGCTTTAGATCTATATTGTAATTTCCTTGGATTACATGTCTGAGCTTCTCTAAAATTATTACAAATTCGTGAACTCCGTCAACAGGACTGAAAGATCATTACACCCATAAACCACATAAAACACACACCACATAGAATATTAATGAGTTTACAATCAACATATGCTGAGCAGTAAAGCAACAATGGTAACATCAACAACTAAAAATTACTAATATTGTATATAATTTCTCAAATACTAAAAAAATTTATATTTTTTTTTAATTTATCCCAACAAATACATTCCCTTTCAAATTTATAACTAAAAAAAAATATGAAAAAAACAAAAACAAAAAAGTTGAATGTAATGAAACGCCATTTTCTGGGCGAGTCCTGGAGGCTCCCCGGAGCTATACCGGGCTGATTTGCATGTGTTAGTACATGGCATCAGTCAATTCAATTGGAGTTCTTAACCTGGCCCCCCTCAGAGAGGCACGAGGAGCAATGGCCTATAGAAACCCCTTCATGTGGTTGGAAGCATTCGATGTCTGCCATCTACCGGGTTAGGCACCCAGAAAGGTAGGCGTCCCAAAACAGACTCCACCTGGTGAAAATTGCTACCGAAAACCGAACATTCAATCAGAACGCCACAGTCTGAAAACAAGGAAACTTGCATGATGTCACAACCGCCGCCGCACAGCAGTCTGCGCAGCTTCCCCCTCCCCAGGAGGAGGAAGGGGAAGCCCCAGACCCCTCACGCTGGCTACCAAATCCCTCCAAGACACCAGGAACGCGAAGTCGAGACAACTGGCTGCAACCTGCGACCCAGAGCAACACACACCTGACTAGAGCCAGGAACATTAACAAGGCAAGGGGCAGTCAGGACCCTGTTCGCCCTCCAAAATCCCCACGCCCGAATGTCAACCCAAGACATATTACCAAAAGTGGCAGCTAAAGCAGCAAATTTGCGAACGTCATGGGCACGAGGATAGACCGCAAGCTGGTGGGACAGAATAACCTTGCAGACGACCTGGGAGACCCGAGCACTGGATCAGGGAAGAAGGGAGAATGGGTCAACCCAAAGCACATCCCCAGTCACAGAGGCCACAGCGCATAAATAACGGATAAGAGCTACAACCGGACACAACACATGATGCACCCCCGACCGAAACACCCAAGGACCCCTCCGGAAAGTCGCCATCTCGTTCTTCGCCTGAAAAGAAGGAGACAGTTGCAACCAAACAAACCTTCCACCAGGATCGAAAGAGCAAAAACCCTATGAGTCGGAGGAAAGCATGAAGCTCCCCAACCCGACCCCCCAGAGGCCAATCCCAACAAGAAAAGAACCTTGTCAAAACAATCTTGAACCAAAGGGGCCACCACAAACCTAGGAGAAGAGAGAAAGAGAGAGCACCTGGTACAACGACCAGGATGGCTCAGGCTGCACATGAGCAGGCCGGAGGTGAAACAACACACAAGACAGATTGCAATTCGGGGCTGAAGTGACATCCATTCTGAATGCAAATCCTGCAAAAGTACGTCATCTCCAGCCACCGTGTAATAGGTGACAAGCTGCACAGTACCTTGCGCCTCTACCAGCTATGATACTACCACCTACCCAAGGTCAAAGCAGAAATTAAAACCCCAGCTAACCCCACGGGGGTCAGGTTCTGGCTCGTGGTCCCAGGTAGGCTAAGAACTCCAATTGAATTCACTGATGCCATGGTCTAACACATGAATATGCATATCAGCTAGGTATAGCTCTAGGGAGCCAGAGAGGCTCTCCACAGAAAAGTATATATCTATCTGAAAATGAAAAGCCAAAATACACAGACAGACCATACATATACAGTATATAGAACCAGTGCCCCATTTCTCACTTTCATTGAGTGAGAAGATATCCACTCAGACAAAAAGGTGCAGAATTTAGGGAAAAGTTATATATACTCTATATAATACACACACACACACACACACACACAATTATATCACTACCTACTATATCTTCACAAATATACAATCAATGCACTCCCACACAAACCCCCAGCAGCACACAACTGCTTCAAGACCAGCTGTATGTATATCAATAAACTTAAAATAAGGAGCTCACCTGTTGAAAGAGCTCGTTAGAAGGAATATCAGTTGTGCGGTTCATGTGGTGGTATCCCTGTAGTTGCATCACATTACCCTCCTGGATGGGGATCCCCATGCTGGTTGAGGTTAAGTTGCTGCTGTCAACAATACTGCTGCCACCAATACCTCCCTACCACCAACAATGAGATTAGGTTATGAAGTAGACTACTGAATATTTGAAACTCTTAATGACTAAGTAACTGAGGCAACTATTTCTGATATAGTGGCACTTTTAAGTATTATTACCTTATGACCAACACCACGTCACATTTCATTCCAATTATATACAAGATATGCAGGATAACCACATTCGAAAAGGTGGAAGATTGGGGGGGGGGGAGAGACAGGTGTGTGTGTGTGTGTAATTACCTAAGTGTAGTCGAGGACCAGGCCACGGGGATGCTAAGTCCCGAAATCATCTCAATATAATCTCAAGATAGTTACAGGATGAGAGCTACGCTTGTGGTGACCCGTCTTCTGAGTACTCTTTGTCTCATAGCACTTTGAAACTACCGACAGATTTGGCCTCAACCACCTTCTCACTTAGCTTGTTCCAACCATCTACAACTCTGTTTGCAAAAGAAAACTCTAATATTTTGTTGTTATCTTTGTTTCATTAGCTTGAATCTGTGTCTTCTTGTTCGTGAAGTTGCTGGTTTCAGGAATTTCTTTTTGTCAATTTGGTAGATTCCTGTAGTATTTTGTAAGTGGTTATCTTGAGACGATTTCGAGGCTTTAGCGTCCCTTCCTTTTTGTTACACACCCCCAGGAAGCAGCCTGTATCAGCTGTGTAACTCCCAGGTACCTATTTACTGCTAGGTAACAGGGGCATCAGGGTGAAAGAAACTGCCCATTTGCTTCCACCTCTACCAGAATCGAACCCGGAACCTCAAGACTACGAATCCAAAACGCTGTCCACTCGCCTGTCAGGCCCCTTCAATCATATCATACCACCTTTCTGGTTTTACTATGTTTAATGGCTCTAGTCTCTCCTCGTAACTCTTGTTTTTCAGTTCCGGAAGCCATTTTCTAACATGCTGTTGCACCTTCTCCAGTTTACTTATGCGCTTCTCGAGATTTGAGCACCATTCAACTGCTGCACATTCCAATTTTGATCTCACAAAAGTCATGAACAGTTTTAGTATTTCAACATCCATATAATTAAAGGCTAGTCTGAAGTTGGTAAGCGACACAAACGTTCCTCTCACAATGTTCGTTGTGTGTTCCTCTGGTGACAGTTTACTATCCAAACCCACCCCTAGGTCTTGTTCTTTATTAGAGTTGAGTAATTCCTTTCCACATAATTTGTAAGTTGTGTGTGGTCTATTTTCTCCAATTCCACATTCCATAACATGGCATTTATTCACATATAATTCCATTTGCCACTTGACACTCCAAGCACTTATTTTATCTAGATCAATTTGAAGGGCATTGCAATCGTCTGCGTCTCCTATCTTCCCCAGTATCTTAGCATCATCCTCAAACATGTTCATATTGTTCTGCATACCTTCTGTAAATCGTTTATGTAGACGATGAACATTACTGGTGCAAGAAATGAACCCTGTGGTACTCCCTAGTTACATTCCTCCAATCAGATACATTGTCTTTGATTACTGTCCTCATCTGTCAGTTAGAAAACTTTAAATCCCTGTCAGAGGTCTCCCTGTCAACCCTCTAGAATGTTAGTTTCCAGAACAACCCCTTGTGTGGGACTGTCAAAAGCCTTTTTAAGGTCCAGATAGACTCAACCACCTCTTTTCTGTAGTATCTCTGTAGATCTATCATAAACACTGAGTAGATTTGTTATACAGGATCTTCCTGTTTAAAAAACCATACTGTCTGTCTGTTATTATGTCACTACTCTCTAGGTGTTCAACCCATTTGGCTTTAACTGTTTTTCTTGTCTTGACTACCACCCTTGTTAATGATACAGGTCTATAATTTAGAGATTCCTCCTAACTACCATTTTAATAGATTGGTACTATGTTTACCTTTTTCAACATCTGCTAAGATTCCTGTGTTGTGTGTAATTACCTAAGTGTAGTTACAGGACGAGATTTACGCTTGGTGTGTCCCATCTACCCAGCACTGTCATTAACGCTTTGAAACTACTGAGATCACAGTGTGTGTGCGTGTGTGTGTGTGTAATTACCTAAGTGTAATTACCTAAGTGTAGTTACAGGATGAGAGCTACGCTCGTGGTGTCCCGTCTTCCCAGCACTCTTTGTCATATAACGCTTTGAAACTACTGACGGTCTTGGCCTCCACCACCTTCTCACTTAACTTGTTCCAACCGTCTACCACTCTATTTGCGAAGGTGAATTTTCTTATATTTCTTCGGCATCTGTGTTTAGCTAGTTTAAATCTATGACCTCTTGTTCTTGAAGTTCCAGGTCTCAGGAAGTCTTCCCTGTCGATTTTGTCTATTCCTGTTACTATTTTGTATGTAGTGATCATATCACCTCTTTTTCTTCTGTCTTCTAGTTTTGGCATATTTAATGCTTCTAACCTCTCCTCGTAGCTCTTGCCCTTCAGTTCTGGGAGCCACTTAGTAGCATGTCTTTGCACCTTTTCCAGTTTGTTGATGTGCTTCTTAAGATATGGGCACCACACAACAGCTGCATATTCTAGCTTTGGCCTAACAAAAGTCATGAACAATTTCTTTAGTATATCGCCATCCATGTATTTAAATGCAATTCTGAAGTTAGAAAGCATAGCATAGGCTCCTTGCACAATATTCTTTATGTGGTCCTCAGGTGATAGTTTTCTATCTAGAACCACTCCTAGATCTCTTTCTTTATCAGAATTCTTTAAAGATTTCTCACATAATATATAGGTTGTGTGGGGTCTATGTTCTCCTATTCCACATTCCATAACATGACATTTATTAACATTAAATTCCATTTGCCAAGTGGTGCTCCATATACTTATTTTGTCCAGGTCTTTTTGAAGGGCATGACAGTCATCTAAATTTCTTATCCTTCCTATTATCTTAGCATCATCAGCAAACATGTTCATATAATTCTGTATACCAACTGGTAGATCATTTATGTACACAATAAACATCACTGGTGCAAGAACTGAACCCTGTGGTACTCCACTTGTGACATTTCTCCATTCTGATACATTGCCTCTGATTACTGCCCTCATTTTTCTATCAGTCAGAAAATTTTTCATCCATGATAGAAGCTTACCTGTCACCCCTCCAATATTTTCCAGTTTCCAGAACAACCTCTTATGTGGAACTCTGTCGAAAGCCTTTTTTAGGTCCAGATAGATGCAGTCAACCCAACCATCTCTTTCCTGTAATATCTCTGTGGCTCGATCATAGAAACTGAGTAAATTCGATACACAGGATCTTCCAGATCGAAAACCATACTGTCTGTCTGATATTATATCATTTCTCTCTAGGTGTTCTACCCATTTAGTTTTGATTAGTTTTTCCAATACTTTCACTATTACACTTGTTAATGATACAGGTCTATAATTGAGGGGGTCTTCCCTGCTGCCACTTTTGTAGATTGGAACTATGTTAGCCTGTTTCCACCCGTCTGCTACGATTCCTGTACACAGGGATGCCTGAAAGATCAGGTGAAGTGGAATGCTGAGCTCAGATGCACATTCTCTCAGAACCCATGGTGAAACGCCATCTGGGCCAGCTGCTTTGTTCTTACCGAGCTCCTTGAGCATTTTTTCCACTTCGTCTCTAGACACCTCTATGTGTTCTATGTTGTTCTCTGGAATTCTTATTGTATCTGGTTCCCTAAAGATTTCATTTTGTACAAACACACTTTGGAACTTTTCGTTTAGTGTTTCACACATTTCCTTTTCATCTTCCGTGAATCTATTTCCCATTTTCAACCTCTGAATATTATCCTTTACCTGCAATTTGTTGTTTATGAATTTATAGAATAGACCTGGTTCTGTTTTACATTTGTCCGCAATCCCTTTTTCAAAATTTCTTTCTGCCTCTCTCCTCACTGCCGTGTAGTTGTTTCTCGCATCTTTGTATCGCTGGTATGTTTGGGGGTTCGGCCTCTTCCTGTATTGATTCCATTTTTGTGTCTTTCGGTCTCTAGCCCTCTCGCAATTTCTATTGAACCAATCCTGTTTCCTAGTTCTGCATCTCTGTTTTGGTATAAATTTTTTTGTGCCTTTATCATATATTTCACAAAACTTGCCATACATCTCATTCACTTCCTTGCCTAGCATCAAGTCTGTCCAATTATACTCACTAAAAAAATTTCTAAGGTCACCATAATGTCCTCTCCTGAAGTCTGGTTTTTCAACTGCTTCAACCTCCTTATTTTCTTCCAGCTTATAACGCATTGCATACTTTATTCCCAAAAAGACATGGTCACTTTTACCCAAGGGAGGAAGGTACTGAATGTCAAATATCTCTTCCTCCTTCCTGGTAAATATCAAATCTAGCATGGAGGGAACATCCCCTTCCCTCATCCTCGTAGCTTGTTTAACATGTTGATACAAGAATGTTTCCAGGATGAGGTCTACAAATTTACAGGTCCAAAAATCTTCTGTTTTAGCTTCATATGCTTCCCAGTCTATGGATTTCAAGTTGAAGTCACCGACTATCAACAGTCGTGATCTATCGTTATCCGCTCTCGCTATAATCTCTCTCATTATTGTTATAAGACCTTCACGTTTACTATCTAGCTCCTCCTTTGACCATGTGCTGCTTGGCGGTGGACTATATGCATTTATCATCATTAGTTTATCATCCTCATAGCAGATCTCTAGTGCTATTATGTCAACTTCTTGTGGATTGGCAGTCATTATTTCCTTCACCTTTAGGTGTTCTTTTACCAGCACAGCAACGCCACCGCCTTTCCTAATTTTTCTGTCCCGTCTCCAAATTGAGTAGCCCCTTGGGAATATGACCTCATTTAAAATTACATCTTCAAGTTTTGTCTCCGTGAGTGCAACAATGTCTGGTGTCTGCAGCTGTATTACATCACTTAACTCCAGTATCTTCGATCTCACTCCATCTATGTTGGTGTATGCAATCTTCAGGAACTTGTTCCCCCTCTCCTTATTCTTCACTCCCCCTCTCTCTATTGATTTTGTTGGTTTGCCTTTATGTACCACTTTACTGGTTTGCCTACCCCTATCACTTTGTAGAAAAAAGAATTTATTTCTTCTCACCGTTTAGGGTGATCCTCAAAGGTCGACCTTTCCCTTTTACGTACCTGCCTATTCTCCTGTAGTCGCACACATTCTCTCTGTTTGTAAGACCTTCCACGAGGCCAACAATTTTATCTACTACTTTAGCTTCTTCTACAGCTCTTTCTGACCTAGATGTTATCGCCTTTTCTTTGCAGCCAAAAATGATCAGGGACTTACTCCGATCAACTGTGTTTTGCACCAACTTCGGGTTAGATGCCAAATTCTTTCCTCACTTCTAGCCTAATGTTTGTTTTATATAGGACAGGACACACACACACTAGCCTAGTGTGTGTGTGTGTGTGTGTGTGTGTGTGTGTGTGTGTGTGTGTGTGTGTGTGTGTGTGTGTGTGTGTGTGTGTGTGTGTGTGTGTGTGTGTGTGTGTGTGTGTGTGTATAGTCTATGAAATAATAATAATAATAATAATAATAATAATACACAGAGTAATCCCACTAATGTGACTGCATTAAGGAGAAAATGCACAGGAGCAGTGATGAGGATCCAAAGTTGTTTGGTGGATGTTCCCGCTCACACGCCATGTCGTGGTTTAGTCGCTAGAAGCGTGTGCAGGGGAACATCCACCGCATAGGTTCGAACCCTCATCACCGTTCCTACGGATTTTTTTTAATAATAACAATAACAATAATAATAATAATAATAATAATAATAATAATAATAATAATAATAATAATAATAAAATAAAAATTATATGACCAAACATATACAGTAGTCCAGTGAAGAAACAGAATGCTCGTTCATAGGACTCGGTACAGTCTTAACGATACAGTCTCACTAAAGCACTGGTTAATAAAGCATAGTACTGTAGTTGGTTTCATTAAATGCCACACAGTTTAAGATTCATATATACATACAAGAAAATAAGATTGGCCTTCAAGTGCTATGATTAACTGAAATGTTGCAAATAGTAAACTTTTTTATTTTTTACATTTTAATATTGTTACTTAAAACTCGCTGACAACCAATCCTTTTACCAAAAACACATCCCAATTCTAGTCACAGGACATTTACATTAGATGACATGATCAAATTCCTCACTAATCATTCACTATATTTACAGTACTTCATTCAGTTTCAATATCAAGAATTTAAGCAAAGGAAATGGACAATCTGAGAAGCATCTGTGATATTAAGAAATTAGATAAAATATGGAAAGAAAATATAATGAAAGTCTAAACATCAATAAAATGCATGAAAAGAGGAGAATGTACGAAGACAGGTTGGGCATGTTGAATGGGTAATGGAAGGCTAGTGAATTATATAAGTGAATTTAAGAGTATCAGAAGAGAAAGGGTGATCCATGTCCTATTCATATAAAATGCTAACTACTAAAATAATGTAAATTATTTTATATAGGACTTGTATTTTCTAACAAGCGAATTCCGCCATATTGTAGATAACATTTCATTCACTTAGACACTCTGAGTCTTGAGCCACAGACTACACAAGCAGCATCCCACAGCTTTACCTTCTGGTGGCTCAGAAGGTAGAGCTGCAGACTGCTTTTTGCTTGGGACTCGGTTCAAGGCTCCGATTGTTCAAGTGAATGAACTTATTATCCACAATATGGTGGAATTCGTTTATTTGAAAATACAAGTCCTATATAAAACAATTCACAACAATGCTGTACACCAGATTTTATGAAGCTGTAGGGTGCTTCTGTGGATGACTATACTCTTCTAATTGTGCTTGTGGGGGTTGAGCATCGGCTCTTTGGTCCCACTTCACAACCATCAATCAACTGGTGTACAGATTCTTGAACCTATTGGGCTCTATCATATCTACATTTGAACTGTGTAAGGAATCTGCCTCCTCCACATCACTGTGCAATGCATTCCATTTGTTAACTACTCTGACACTGAAAAAGGTCTTTCTAATGTCTTTGTGGCTCATTTGGGTACTTGCTTTCCATGTGTGTTTTCTTGTGAATGTACCACCCTTGTTAAATAATGTCTTAATCTACCCTATTAATTCCTCTGAGAATGTGATGATCATGTCTCTCCAAACATGTCTTCCAGCAACATGAGGTTTAGTAGTCTTCCCTCATAGTTCATGCCCCTCAGCTCCTATACTAGTCTGATGGCATACCTTTGAACCTTCTCCAATTTAGTCTTGTGCTCGACTAGATACGGAATCCATACTGATGCTGCATACTCCAGGATTGGTCTGACATGTGTGGTATACAAGGTTCTAAATGTTTCCTTACACATGTTGCATTGAGGATGTGCTTATTTATGTGTAAATCTATATAATGAACAAATAAAGTAATAATACTTAAAAAATAATCACTTGTTATAATCTTTTCCTATATTATATTTTTTACTCCAGGTTAATGCTACCCTGTCCCAAGAAAGTAAGAAATAGAATAAATCAATTACTATGTCTCTTTTCATCCAATTATTGTATCAAGAGTAAAAGTTAATTAGGTCATTGTCATGGGTTGGATTCCTGGCATCTTTGAACCTGAGTTTCACCATCTTCATTATTGTATCTATGAAACAAAGTGCTGTAATCTCGTTACACTTCTGATGTAAATCATATACAGTACTGTTCTAATCACCGAGTCTTATCATAAAATTATCCAGGTGAAGATTTGCATGATAATCAAAACATCATTAACCATATAAAGCCATATTAATGCTGATCATGATGCTGCAGAATAATGGCTCTACATGAAGAGATTCAATTATTTCATTAGTAGTATAGTAGTAGCAGGCATCCATCAGTCTCGGGAGACTATGGAGATGTGCTCTGGTTGTCGGTCTGGAGTGGCCTCACCAGGGCGCAAAGCCAGGGAAGGTTGATAACTAGTATAGCACTATAGTAATTGGATACTTTGTCATACCAAATTGCTGATAATTAAAAATGAGAAGCAAAGCAGAAGTGATTGCAAAAAATACATACTACAATATGATGTCCACCATTTCAAAAGCTAATACAATTGAGAACTATAGTGTCAAGATATCAAAAAAAAGTATCAAGTACAAAAAAGCTAAGAAGCATTACATGAATAACTAGACCTCATACCCAATGGACATGGACAAATAAGCATGTCTGATAAAGCACAATAAAAGAATATGTTCAGACACTAGTGCCAGATATGAGAGAGATGAGCCATGAGAAAACAAGCTAATGACAATAAAAGACCGAAGGAGCAGAGGTAGATAATATAATATATATTATAATATATATCACAGATAATCACAACAAAGATTATACCGAGTGAATAGAGAAAATGGGGACAATCTTTTCCAGGAGACACACAACAGAACGAGGTGTAACAGTGGACGATGGAAACACAAATGAACCACAGAGACCACAGCAAGGGAAGAAAATACTTGCACACAATGAGGAGGGTCAACATAGTTGAACAAGCTTGAGGCAAAAGTGAAAGAAGCAACCTCCATTTATAGCCTTGAAAGCAAGTATAGCAGAATACTGGAATGTTGGGAGGCATAAATAAACCAGGTATAATAGCTACGAGGCAAGATGTACATTCTCTCACATATTTATTTCCTTGTCAATTTATTTTATTTATAAGAATAAAGAATAAATTATTCATATTTACTGCTTTAGTTTCCACCAATTCAAATCAAGGAAAAAGTTTAGATCACTGACAACATTTAACCCATTGCAGATATTTGGCATAATATACTGCAATATGAAACCAATAACCTGTAAGAATAAGTTTTATATTTTGCATACACACTTTCAGACAAAATATTTCTTTTTAAATACATTTTAAATATTCAGTCATGCAAGAGGTAACCAAACTTAGGCAGTTCAATCCACAAAGTTATATACAGCATTCAGAAATGTCCTCAGACCAACTTGCCACTCATTCTTCCTTACCTTATCCTTACTGCAACATCTGTTTTCCAACACCTTCACTTATCATTAATTCCAGGTATCTAAATTCATCCACAGTTTCCACTTTTCAAAACAAGATACAAGAACCAGAGGCCATGCCTCTCTCATGTATTCTTGTTTAATATAATTTTTCTTAGAATGTTTGATTTAAAATGACTTTGGAAATTGAAGTAAGTAAAATATGTTAGTATAACAAAAGTAATGAAGGAGTTGCAACATGAATCTCACTCTGTGATAAAATATCTGCATTATGTATACAACTTCCTAATTGTTTTTATAAAGTCTAAATGTAAGTGTTTGAATAGCAACATGTAAAAGACAAGCACTTCATAATATTTCCACATGACAGTAAGTAAATATATTGAACAGGTAACCTTAACAACAGTGCAATCAAGGACAAAAATATCCCCTTAAAGCAATATTAAATACAATTTGTTTTTTTATAAATGCCATTAGATGTATACTCAATATTTTAATCATGCAAAGCACAAACTGTCTAATGTTACGTAAAGTGGGTATTAAGATGTTGCAGAGAGGTTAGTATTACAGCCACGAAACCAACAACCAAGAGACCATCAGCCACCAATTAATAGTATTACCAACATGTTCAAGCTTGCAAAATTGGACAGAACAGTTGATTTTCATGCAATAAGTAGCACTACTGGCTTTGTATGCATCCTGGTTTAGGTCACCAGAGCAAGCCATGACAAGTTACAAAACACAGGACAAGCCCAATAGTTATGTCAAGCACATGTATGACAGGACAATGACAAGCCCAGAAGAACGGTAGCAACAAATCCTTAGGCTGGCCAAGGATCAAGAACTCTGGGGCGACGCCCACCTCAGGAGCCAAAACGTGGAAGAAGGCTGGGCAGGTTTTGTAGTTGGTAGACGGCGACCAGAGGGCCCTTGTGAACCGCGATGCCCCAGAATTCAGCACCTACAACACTTGGCCATCAGGGCTTTTTTCATATACAGTGGGACCTCTTCAGCTAATACCATACAGGCATAAACTCATGTATGTTTTCACTATTATATAATATGTAATATCATATCATCTACAAATTATTTTACATAATAAAATTTATTAATTTGCAGAGGCAAATGCTATATAAAAAAACATACAACAAAGGGAGGATCCACTGTACATCTATCCACAAGGACACCGATAGCTAAAAAGCTTAAACAAAACTCCATTTTAATTCACATTAAGGGGTATAATAAGCAATTTAAAGGGGAAAATGAAGAGGTGTTGTATACTGAAAATAAATCATGGTCGAGATATTAGAACACCAGTAATATGTCGCTACATAATATGATACTCTGGAAATGTAGACTGTCTGCATGAGCCGAATCAGTTCAAAAGGAAAAGCAATAACAAGTGTACAATCTACCTATGTAAATTATAAATGAGAATATGTGCTGTGAACAAAAATATTCTATGGTTAGAGACAGAGAACAACCACCATGACACTACACATAACACGTTCATTCAGAGAGTTAAGACAAAGCTGCGAGAACACACAAAGCACACATTACCCTGGTTTTCCATGCCATGTCTATGATTTATACACATCACAAAATTAAAATATGGTACTGGCTCTGTATTTAACATTCATGCCATGAATTTCAATGGCAATTTCAAGATATATTATTAAAAATCAACTACAGAACATACAGTACTTTAACAATACTAAACTAGAAGTTATATACTTTGTATAGTTAAGTAAAATAAAACTTTAAATGATTGAAAAGCATGGCTCATTCATAATTTGCTCTAAATAAAAGCAAAGATAAAATGTTTAGACAAAATTCTGCCGAGGACAACTCACCCCTGCAAGTTGCATGCTAAGGTCTTGACTGAAAGTAGGCTGGGTAGCCAGGGAAATAGGAGTACCAGGATGGCTGGGAGCAGAGATTGGGGCAAATGTATGTGATGACGACAATGAGATTGGTGTAACTGTGCCTCCTGAGGTGCCCAGCTGCTGCAGCTTGCGTGCTAGCTCAGACAGGTTGCTGTTAGAAGTTACACTGAAAAAATAAATAAATAAATAAATTGGAAACACAAATTCAGGGAAAAATATGAAAACTCTAAGATACATGGCTTTTATTTTTGTACAAGCTATCTGCTTGTAAATAAGAAATGTTGCCTGAACAGCTTTACGTTTGTAAAGTACAGTATTGTACACCCATTTCCTACGCCCATTTTCACAACTTCTTATTACAATGGACGAATTTCTACAAAAGTAATTTATGAACTGATCAAGGAATAACAGTACAGTATTATAAACCCTTGATGGCCAATTTCTAGGTATGAAAGTCCTGAAGAGCTGAATAAAATTAAGTTATCCAGTGGCAATGCAATAGATTATATAAAAATTTCTAATAACAAACTGCTCTGAAACATTTAAGATATTCTCAGACGTTCAATTACTGTACCTGTCATATTTCTCCAGAGAATTCTGCTGTGAGAGTCTGGCCTGATGATCAGAAGTGTAGGTGTTCTCCGGAGTGCAGTGATGTGGAGGAGTGGGTCCCCCAGATCCTGGCTGTGAGACTGACACAGGCATTGGTACAGCAACACCCACACCACTGACAAAGCCATCACTCTGCTGCACAAGGTTATGAAAGTTTTCAATTTTCATAATGCAGTACAATAACTAGAATTATAAAACTATAGAAGAACTTTTTTTTTTTTTTTTTTTTTTTTTTTGCACACCACTCAAATCTACATGGATACATGCCTACCAAACCAAGATACCTAACCTACCCAGCCTATTCCCAGACACTAGACGAAGATTTATGACAGGAAGGTTTTTGATAAGAACCTTATTAGAAAATTTTTAACTCATTTCAAGAGCAAGAATTTTATTACAAAAAATTTAAATAACTTAATATACATGACTTTCAGAATGAAAATTATCCTTATGATATTTTCTAAATTGGTTCCACTGATTTTCTCAACCTGTCATCCACAAATAGTTACCTTACCTTGCAGTTACCTTGCAATGATTTTAGAGCTTAACGTCCTCACAGCCCGGTTGTCGACCAGGCCTCCTCATTGCTGGACTGGTCAACCAGGCTGTTGGACTAGGCTGCTCACAGCCTGATGTATGAATCAGCCTGGTTGGTCAGGTATCCTTTGGAGGTGTTTATCAAAATCTCTCTTGAACACTGAGGGGTCAGCCAGTTCTGCTCCCTATGTGTATGGGAAGCGTGTTGAACAGTCTCGTGCCTCTGATGTTGATAGTTCTCTTTCAGAATACAGTACTTACTGCACTTCTGCTTTTCAACAGGGGTATTCTGCACATCCTGCCATGTCTTCTGGTCTCGTGAGGTGTTATTTGTGTGTGCAGGTTTGAGACTAGCCCCTCTAGTGTTTTCTACGTGTAAATTATTACATCTCTTTCCCGCCTGTGCTCAAGAGAATACAGATTTAGGCATTTTAGTCAGTTCCAATAGTTTAGATATTTTACCGAGTGGATTCTAGCAGTAAAGGATCGCTGCATGCTCTCCAGGTCAGCAATTTCTCCTGCTTTGAAAGGAGCTGTCATTATGCAACAGTATTCCACTCTAGAGAGCACTAGTGTCTTGAAGAGTATCATCATCTGTATAGCATCTCTAGTTTGAAAAGTTCTTGTTATCTAACCTGTAATTTTTCTTGTACTTGTGATGGCTACTTTATTGTGTTCTTTAAAGGTAAGATCTTCTGACATGAGTACACCCAAATCCTTTTCATTTCTTTTTCGTTCTGTGTTATGATTTGACTGCATTTTGTACATGGTTTCTGATTTTATATTTTGATTTTTCTGTAGCGCAGGAGCTGGAACTTATCTTCATTAAATACCATATTATTTTCTGCAGCCCATCGAGAGACCTCATTTACATCATCTTATTGGAAGTTTGCTGTGTCCTCTATGTTGCCCACTCTCATAAAAATCCTAGTGTCATCTGTAAAGGATGATACAGTACTATAGATTGAGTCCTTGTCTATGTCCAATATGAGAATGAGAAAAAGTACTGGAGCAAGCACAGTACCCTGGGGGTACTGAGCTCTTCATGGTTGATGGGCCGGATTTTATTTTGTTGATTATTACACATTGGGTAATATTAACACATTCCAGGTTCTGTTAGTCAGGAAATTGTAAATCCATCTGGCTATTTTTCCGGTAATTCCATTTGAACGCATTTTGTGTGCAATAACACCATGGTTACATTTGTTGGAGGCTTTTTGCAAAATCTGTGTAAATTACATCAGGGTTTTGCTTGTCTTCCATGGCATCTAATGCCATGCCATAGTGTTCCAGCAACTGTGATAGGCAAGAGCGCCCTGTTCTGAAACCATGTTTGTTGTCCGGGGTTATGGAGATGCTGTGATTCCATGTAATTTGTGATCTTGCTTCTTGGCACTCTTTCAAAGATTTTTATGATGTGTGATGTTAGTGCTATCAGTCTGTAATTTTTTGCCTCTGCCTTATTTCCTTCTTTATGGAGTGACGCTATCTCTGCTGATTTTAGTATGTCTGGGAGTGTGGACATTTTGAGCTATTCTTCTCTTCCTTCTCTTGCTAAAAAATCAAGGGTATGGCACTTCATTTCAACTCTGACAATCTATTGATGGGGTATTGCTTGAAAATGTGGGGCATGACCACGACTTTGCAACAGAGGGCATTGATTATGATCACACTTCTAGCTTCCTAGAATTTAATCATTTATGCAGCTCACATTCAAGGATGCTGGCAAATGACCTCTTCCATTTTTTCTTCTCTTTCAACTTCTCACTCCATCCAATAATGGATGGAGTGAGACTTGAAAAAGCTTTCTCCAAACTAATATTATGCTGGAATTCTCTCTTAAATATGCGTACATTAATTAAACAAAAGACCAGCTACAACATGTGCTAATCATGAAGCTTTATTTACTTCAGAGTTTATCTGGTAGTAAAATATGAGAAAGACATCTTACTCGAATTTAAAGTATTTCACCTCAATTTAAATACTGAAGATGCACATCTAAAATCTAAAATTACATGGAATTACCCAAGTATTAACAAATACATCATGTTTGTACTTGTGACACCAATAATACTATCTGTCAGTATCCCAAGTCTCTGATGATTTCCACACACATTTATATCATATAAAATATAAAATAATATTAGATTAATAGAAGCATTTAACAATACACAAAAAATAGAGGTTAGTCTTAAATGCATCATGCATGTAATGGGGACAGCAGAAAATAAACACTCCACGCTGAAGTCGTCTGGAAAACCTTGGAGAATGCACACACCATTAAAACGCTAAACAAAACAAAAATGTTTTTTTTAGTGCAAAGTTTATGATAGTATAGTATGAAGAGACAGGCAGAATGTGGCAGAAGAGAGTGCAAACTTTACCTGCTGGTCTTGTGTTGGTGGGATCACAATAGAGGCAGAGGAGGTTGGTACGGATGGAAGCAGAGCAGCAGTAGAGGAAGCAGGAATGAAGTCTGACTGAGGGGATTCATCCAGGAGAAGGTTAGGAGTGGGAGTTACAGTTTCCACTTGCTGCTGGACAACAGGGGCACCTGACCCCCCACCTGGTTCCTCACCAGGCATCTGCTTGCGCTCTACCACAGGACTCACCAAGAAGCGAGACGTCCTGAAAGCCTAAGATCACAAGCTTGCAGTGTCAGCCAGAAGGTGAAATACCAGCACTTGGGAAAATATAATGCAGCATGCTATAATACTAAATTAGATTAGTAATGACTGTCATGAGTCTATGCATTAGTTACAGCACCATTTTTTAAAAGATTGTAAAATAATTTAGAGTTAGACAATTGAAGTGTAATTATAAATAACATGATCGAGTACTGAAAATCACTACAAAACTTAAAATGAGTAATATTAAAAATGTATATCGGTATAAAACAGGGATGTAATTGACTGATATGACTACCAATAACCTATGATATAGCCATGGTAATGTGCCACAATATTCTTCAACACTATCAAGATTTTAACTTTTAAATAAAAATAGGTGAATCTCAATGATTATTTTCTATGATTTTTCACTAAAAGAAACTAAAGACATTAAAGTAATTGATGCATTTTTTCTTTTATTAGAAAGGTTCAGTTTGCTCCACAGAGCTATCACTGATAACTTAAATATTTTTCACTTTCGAAAATCATATTTTTTCAATTCTTTTCCAAGAAATTAGATTTTTTTTATTACAATACTGAAAGTTCTCAAGAGATAAGAAAGCCATCAGCCTTGGTATACTGAATACATTATATTGCTTTTAAGAGTATTCTAAATACTAGCATTCCTCAAATGAAAACTTATAAGGTTATGTAGATACTGAAGCCTTAATTGAGAATATGAAATACATGATTAAACCTCGCACTATTACACACACAAATCACAATAGCGTGATGCATCAAATGAACAAATCCACAAGAGACGTGACGAGGGTTCGAACCTACGTCCGAGAGGATTCCAGACGCTGCCTTAATCGACTGAGCTACGACATGGTAGCTGTCGTAGCTTTACCATGTAGCTCAGTCGATCATCTTGTTTCCTGTCAGGTACATCCTTACTCAGTTCAGTGCCTAACCAGTTACCCCAGCTTACTTCCCCCATTTAATACTCTAACCTTTTACGGGGAACAGTATCAAATGCTTTTGCATAGTCTAGAAAAATACAGAGCATCCAGCCTTCTTTCTCTTTCCATATCTTGGCATCCCTATCATAGAATTATCAAGTTTGTCAGGCATCCCATTTTGCCTTCTAGATCTGTCCTGCCCCTCCATTAGGAAGTTAATATGTTCCAGGTACTCCACCAATTATCTCCTGCATGTTAGTGCCACTAGTCAATAATTTAGTGCTGTGTCTGTCCTCTTTCATGAATACAGGTATCCTGTTTGTCCTTTTCCAGATATTCGTTAGTTCACAAATTTAGTGTTTGGTTAAAGATACTAGTTTGTGGATAATAAATGTGGATTTGTTTTGTGGAATCCAAGTTTGTGGATTCTTGACTTGGCTCCAAGTCAAGAACTTGTAACCTCATTCAGTAAGCACTGCGATGCCAGGTCCTACCTACTGCTTATTCTGCATTTATGACCACTAATTGTCTACTTTACATCCTTCCTTTCTTTGTGTTTCACTAAATAAGAGTGTACAGAGTGGTGTAGTGATAGACAAACTTGCAGGGTATATACATACTGACATATAAGGTGCAACTAACAAATGTAGTCAAAGGATGCAAAGAAAACTGAACAGCCAGGAGTAGGATGTGTGAGGTTCATACAAAGCTTTACAGTGCAAAACTAAAGAGCTCATTTAACACTTTGAGGTTCCACAGACTGATTATCTCGTCATTTATTTTTCTACTGAATGTGTTCCAACGACGCAATACTGAGTCACTCATTAAAATATTTTTTAAAAATTTAAATTTTATCAGATCAATCTTGTAGTGGTTTTAAAATAAGCGCCTTTAGATTGCACACAATTTGATACCAAAATCAAAGATATAACATGAAACTTGATGTCCAAACACTTGAAATATTATAAATAGGCCTTTGGTCCGAATATTAAAATAATTGTTAAAATTCTATTTATTGTCCTATTATCTTGGGACTAGTTTTAAAATGCGCGCCGTTTTATTGCGAACAATTTGATACCAAAATGAAAGATGTAACACAAATATTTATGTCAGAACACTGGAAAGATATAAATAAATTTGTGATGATGAGCGTCCAGAATTAAAATATTTGTTAAAAATCCAGTTATTGTTCTATTATTCTGGGACTAGTTTTAAAATACTCGCCTTTTTATTGCGAACAATTTGATACCAAAATGAGCGACCTAGCACGAAATTTGATGTTATCAAATTGAACGAGTTGAACATTAGGTTGCAATGTACAAAATGGTGCTCGTTCACGGGTAACTTTAGGCTTTTCTGCGGGGAGGCACTCCAGCCTTTTGTACATTTTATTCTTACACATCTGTAGGGAATTTAATTGCGAACACAATGATACCAAAACGAGCGACGTAGCACGAGAATTAAGGTAAAAAAATGGAAGGAGAATGCACATGTTACTGATTTTGTGCGTTTTTGCCGACTTTACGCTTTGCTGTTGGGAGTCACGCTAGGCTTTTGGACATTATATTTATACACAGCTGTAGAGAATTTAATTGCGAACACAATACCAAAACGAGCGACGTAGCGCGAGAATTAAGGTGAGAAAACTGGAATGAGTATACACATTTGGGTGTCACCGCGCGCTTACCCGCACGGAGGGGCCACGATCCCCCAGTCAACCGCGAGTTTCTACGGAGCGCGAAAGTGTTAAGATACTTGAAATCTCTGCTAGTACTTTAAAAGAACTGGGTATCTGTGACCCAGCAAGTATCCTAAAATAAAATGAAAGCAATGGTACTGATTTCAGTTAAATTTCATCTTATACCATCTATAATTAACTCATTAAATTATGAAAATAAACAATAAATGTGGAGAGAGGATAACATGTGTCAAGAAAACTCTTGTCAGAACAGGAAAGGTGTACAATTAATAGATGAAAGTATGAACAATGGATGGATCAAGTAAACTATTAAATATTTTTTGTGGCCACATGTAACTATCCTTCTGAAGCCTGCCATTATGACTTCTAAGTACACAATATTAAGTAATATTCTTCAACATATTTGACAAAGCAAGTTGTGATAAACTTTTTAAGACAGTGGCCTGCAGTGATTTTGTTTAGATTCTTAAACCCCTAAAGTGCAGCTATGGATTTAGAGCCATATCTGCCTATGCACAAAAAAAAATCATAATAGTTTACTTTGGATGCAAAATGTACAGAAAAATGGAAATAAACTGAATATCCACATTGTATCCAGTTTTGTGCACTGTACAAGATGAAGTGTGGCAGACAAGGGGCTTGTCTGTCCACACACTATCAACACCAGAGCTTGCTGTCAACAACAACACACACACACACACACACACACACACACACACACACACACACACACACACACACACACACACTCAATGTTTGCGGACGATGCTAAAATTATGAGAAGGATTAAAACAGAAGAGGACTGTTTGAGGCTTCAAGAAGACCTAGACAAGCTGAAGGAATGGTCGAACAAATGGTTGTTAGAGTTTAACCCAACCAAATGTAATGTAATGAAGATAGGTGTAGGGAGCAGGAGGCCAGATACAAGGTATCATCTGGGAGAGGAAATTCTTCAGGAGTCAGAGAAGGAAAATGACTTGGGGGTTGATATCACGCCAGACCTGTCTCCTGCAGCACATATCAAGCGGATAACATCAGCGGCATATGCCAGGCTGGCCAACATACGAACGGCATTCAGAAACTTGTGTAAAGAATCATTCAGAACTTTGTATACCACATATGTCAGGCCAATCCTGGAGTATGCAGCCCCAGCATGGAGTCCATATCTAGTCAAGGATAAGACTAAACTGGAAAAGGTTCAAAGGTTTGCCACCAGACTAGTACCCGAGCTGAGAGGTATGAGCTACGAGGAGAGACTACGGGAATTAAACCTCACTTCGCTGGAAGACAGAAGAGTTAGGGGGGACATGATCACCACATTCAAGATTCTGAAGGGGATTGATAGGGTAGATAAAGACAGTCTATTTAACACAAGGGGAACACGCACAAGGGGACACAGGTGGAAACTGAGTGCCCAAATGAGCCACAGAGATATTAGAAAGAACTTTTTTAGTGTCAGAGTGGTTGACAAATGGAATGCATTAGGGGGTGATGTGGTGGAGGCTCACTCCATACACAGTTTCAAGTGTAGATATGACAGAGCCCGATAGGCTCAGGAATCTGTACACCTGTTGATTGACGGTTGAGAGGCGGGACCAAAGAGCCAGAGCTCAACCCCCGCAAACACAACTAGGTGAGTACACACACACACACACACACACACACACACACACAAACTACCCAAACCAGACACACTCAGTGCTGACCTTGGATGTCTAGATGATTATATCTATGAATGTATGTACCACTAAATGAATAAATGTATATACCACTGAATGAATGAATGTACCACTGAATGAATGAATGAATACATATGTAAATATGAATATATATAATAATGTATGTATCAATGAATCAACGACTCGCTGAACGTATGTAACAATAAGAACTTTAAGTCAGATATCCACCAAAACATTTGCAAAATTCTTCATATTATTTCCCTTCAAATACATAAAGCAAAATGTTACCTATGCTCAACACACACACACACACACACATACATTATAAAAAAGGCATGGAAAAGGCAGGCTGGTCAACATAGAGCCAGAAACTGAAGGGGTTAATGACAAGTAGGAAATGAGGCAAATAATGATTGGAATTTATAATTGCTAAGAACATGCAGTCAAATAGAAGAAAAGGCACATCATGAAAGGATATTCCAGGTATTTCTGTAACAGACAGCTGACAAGAACAACTGTCTTAGAGTGAATGACACTGATTTATGTTACAAAGTGTGTGTGTACTTCAAGTACAATACAGCTGAACATTAAATAGGTTAACATTACAAAATTAATTAATAACAGAAAATAGGTAGGAGAGTACAAAAAATGCAGCCAATAATTGAAGGCATATATTGTACATACCTGTGGTTGTTGTGATGTTGCTTGAGAGGCTACAGGCGGCTGCGGCGCAACACACGCTGGACTAACTGACGGAGGTTGCTGCTGCTGCTGCTGCTGCTGCTGCTGCTGCTGCTGCTGCTGCTGCTGCTGTTGCTGCTGCTGCTGCTGTTGCTGTTGCTGCTGCTGTTGCTGTGACTGTGGCTCCTGCTGAACTGCAGAAGGCTGTTGTTGATGAATGGGGCTCGTCTGGACTTGAGGAGAAGACTCTCTGGGTTCAGCACGCTTGCTTGGAGTTCCTGGAGCACTGTCTCCTTCTTCGTGCTGCTAAAGATAAACATACAAGTGTAATAAAATAGTGATGCATGTATATATTCCTTCCACTTTCTGAATAACAGACAAACAAAATAGGTAACAAATAACCATGCAGGGCTTAACTGTGCACAAATCCATACTGTATATAGCTTATATGTTATAATAACTAAGAATGTAAGCAAAGCTTCCCATTCATATTCTTCTTGTCTAGACCCAATACTACATTAACTCAAGCATTATTGCATTTTAGATGCAATTTCTTAAAGATGACTCACTAACATTCTTAACATTAATTAAACTTTATTGGAAGAACTACCCATATATATATATATCAAAGAATTAATCAATACTTTCAAGCTGCAGTGCATACATCTTTAATATATTGCAATTTGCAAAACACTCTCATAAACAACATGCAGCCTAGAAGAGATTCTCTAAAAAATCCATTCTAAAATCTAATATTTACCTCTATCTCAGTCAGAGATTCCCATCATGAAAAATCAACAAAGGCAGATCTTTCATCTAATATTAATACTGTATAGATCAATACATTTTCACAAACAGTACATAACCCAAAATCTAATCCTCATGTGTACCTCTATAATTACCCAATTATTACACCACAGTTTTTCAAACAACAGCGAGTAAAAACGACAACTACGTGAAGATTTTTACTAGTAAAATACACTGACTAGTGATTAAAATTATAAGGCGCAAAAGAACTTTGACAATTGATAATTTACCTTAAAAGTAGAACACATTGAAGACATGAATGGATATAGTTAAAATAAATTAATAGATAACTTATTTTTAACTATTACGTTAAACAATATATATACTGTAGTTTTAAACAATAAATAAATAAATAAATAAATAAATAAATAATATATATATATTATATATATTATATATACACACACACACACACACACACACACACACACACACACACACAAAATACACATACAATTACATACATACAATTACATACATACAATTACATACATAAAATTACATACATACATATATACAATACACACATAAAATACATATATTCAGGTACTCAGTATAGTGTGAAGGAAGCACTTGGACACAGGGCAGAGATACCAGATACACTTAAACCAGCAGACAGCCCCTCTACACAAGGGAGAGAGCAAAGTATTGGCAAAGAATTATAGACCAGTTGTACTAACGTTCCAAAGAATAAAAGTATTTGAGAAAGCGATCAGAAGTCAGGTCACCAGATTCATGAAGATCAATAACCTTTACAACCCAGGCCAACATGGAATTAGAGCAGGAAGATCATGCCTCACACAGCTACTTGACCACCACGACAAAGTCACTGAGGCATTAGAAGGAAAATAGAATGCAGATTTGGTATACATGGATTTCGGAAAGGCATTCGATATGTGACCATGGAGTAATAGCACACAAAATGAGGTCAGTGGGAATAACTGGTAACATAGGACAGTGGATACTCACTTTTTTGTCAAATAGAACACAAAAAGTAAGATTCAAACATATAAAATAGTCCAAGCACAGTTAAAAGCTCTGTACCTCAGGGTACAGTCCTTGCACCCCTGATTTGCCTTATTCTCATATCAGATATAGACAAAAATACAAGTCATAGCTTCGTATCATTCTTTGCAGATGACACAAAAATCAGCATGACAATTACCTCTGCTGAAGACACTGAAAATCTACAAGCAGATATTAAAGTTTTTGACTGGGCAGCAGAAAATAATGTTTAACAGTGATAAATTCCAGGTACTCAAGATACAGTAAAAATGAGGACCTTAAACACAATACAAGGGAAAAAACACAAACAAATCTGCCCATAGTAGGAAAGCATCATGCAAAGGATTTGGGAATAATGATGTTTGACGACCTAATGTTTCGGGAACATAACCAAGCAAATATTGTGTCAACCAGAAAAATGATAGGATGGATTACAAAAGCTTTCAAATCCAGGGAGCCCATCACAATGGTTGTACTATTCAAATCACTTGGGCTGCCCCATCTTGAGTACTGCTCAGTACTCATTTTCCCCTTCAGAGCAGGAGAGATTGCTGGAATAGAGGGAGAAACAGAACATATACGGCATACAAACGCAATAAAGCACCTAAATTATTGGGATTGTCTCAAAGATCTTCAAATCTACTCACTAGAAAGGAGACAAGAGAGGTATCAAATATACATGTGGAAAATACTGGAGGGACAGGTTCCAAATCTACCCAGTAAAATAACAACATACTGGAGTGAACGATATGGAAGAAAATGCAGAATAGAACCATTGATGAGCAGGAGTGCCATAAGCATTATCAGAGAACACTGTATAAACATCAAAGGTCCACGGTTGTTCAACATCCTCCCAGCAAGCATAAGAAATATTGCCGGAACAAATGTGGACATTTTCAAGAGAAAACTAGATAGTTTTCTTCAAGAAGTGCTGGACCAACTGGGCTGTGGTGGATACGTGGGCCTGCACGTGGGTACGTGCACGTGCACGTGGGTACTGCACGTGGATACGTGGGCCTGCAGGCCGCTCCAAGCAACAGCCTGTTAGACCATGCTCTCACAAGTCAAGTCTGGCCTCGGGCTGAGGATGGGGAGTAGAAGAACTCCCAGAACTCCATCAACCAGGTATACAATACAATGCATACATAGAATACACATACAATACACACAGAATAAACATACAATACACACAGAATACATATACCATACATACATGGCATACACATTCAATACATACATACATACAATACACATTCAATATGTACATACAATACACACACATATATACACACACACACGCACACATGCGCGCACGCAGTGGCTAGAAAGACGGGATCAAAGAGTCAATGCTCGACCCTGCAGGCACAAATAGGCAAGTACAAATAGGTGTGTGTGTACACACACACACACACACACACACACACACACACACACACACACACACACACACACACACACACACACACACACACACGCACACACGCACACGCACACGCACGCTTCAGGTTACCGATTCTCTCTCTCACTTTCAAGCTCCACAATGTTCTCCAGAAAATATCATTTCATATTCCACTATCCCATCATTATACTAGTCATAAATTCTATACTTTTTTTTGTAAATTATCCTAATGCTCCTAACTTTCCTATTTATGCTTATTAAAGCAGTCATAATTCATTTACAGAATATACAAGTCAAATATAGGGCACAAGCATTAGTTGCTTAATTTGCACGGCAAGCTATTCAGTATATATCTTTAAATTACTATTTTCACTTTTATCCATGGGTCTTAAAACACTGCTGTAATAACATTGTGTGAATGCCTCGGCAAGATTTATAAAATTAGCGCAATGTTAAAATTGCAGGAAAGAGAGCATGATATAATCCTAAACAAGACAATATGGAATCAGCCTGTTTCAAAAGATCACATCTTTAAGAGATTTACAAAACACAATGTAGCATAATTCTGCCAGATCAAAACTGAAGTAACAGTACAGCTATGGGATCAGCTATATAATTTCCCCGTGAGGAGTAAAATGAGAAGGTCAAAAGGGGAAGGGGGGGGGGGGGGTGAGCAATGCAGGAATAAATTATAGTATAGAAGGACAAAGATATATAGGAAAAGTCTCCGCATATACCAACCTGTTGATAACTTAAGAGATGATGTAATATATATAAATGGATAAATAAACCAATTATAATAAGAGCTTCTACGATCATACTAAATTCCATCAATCAGTAGAAAAAATACCCATCAGCCAACGTTATACAGCTTAATGATTTAAGGAGCTTAACATTAATCATTTAAGTATCACAAAGTTTCCAGCTGTTTATGTATACCATTGGGTCTTTCTAAACAGTGATCAACACACTATTCATTCGGTTTTGAATGATTATCATCTAGTCACCAGCTATTTAACCCCTGATATATCAGCATAAAATATAGTAGTGTCCATAAATTAATACTGTACATATTCTCAATTCACTTGGCATTTTTCATATTTTTTCTAAGCATAGGTAAGCCCTTTACATGACTTACATTCACCATTCTCAATCTGAGATACAAATATTGTCCTCACTGCTCTAGTGGGCACTCTTGTTTATTGTATCGCCCTTCATATTGAACTCCAATTACCGTAAGTCAATGTTTACATAATCAAAATGCATCAAGACTACCATACATGAATGTACTGATTAGCTGAAAATAGCGAAGCTGAAGCAGTAAATCATTAATAAATGTTTTAAGCATGTATAACTGTATATATATTATATACAAGCTAAAAGTGTGTAAAATACTTTGAAAGAACCATCCTATACAAAATGAACACAAATTTTCTGTAAATACTTGTGTGTGTGTAGGATGAAACTGTTTCACTTACGTACCTGCATCATTAACAAAATAAGAAAAATCCTTCCTACTGGGATAATGGGATGGGATAATGAGAAATTATTCCATTACTAAGATATTTAAGTGGGTTGGGAAAGAGTGAGGAAGCATTCTACAACACTAGCACTTTACATGGATCTCGATAACAATATCTGTTGAAGATTTTAGATTTAAAAAGAAAATTAATTCAATTAAAGTTTGCATTAGACAAGCAGCTTTTTGGTATTACCTTTGCTTGCTGCAAAAATGAGGGATCAATAAACACATTATAATATTCATCAGTAAAAAATAAATACATCAATCACATTTAACATTTATGGTTCTTCTAACAGCCATCTTTCTTACTATAATAAAAATCTCAAACCATCCAGAAATAGGGATAAAAGAAACCGTTTCCTAATCATTAAAATAATAATCTAACATACGGTCAAAATTAAACAAAGGTCAGGTTTAAACTATGTAGGAAAGTGTTGTACTGCAACAGCATATTTAGATAATGCTGAAAATGATTCAGGAATGTCTGAATAAATTAAGATAAATTTTACATTAAATATTTGCTGCAACAAAATGGGAAAGCATTAGTAGACTGATGCTTTGTATAATTTAAAGAGACTCAAAATGGTGTGAAATGCAGAAATAAAAATAATATTTATTTAAATATTTTTCATATTTTAACACAGTAACAATGCATTCCTGAGTCATTAGTGCATCATGGGTGAAAGTGCAACATTACAGGCTCATTAAGGTTACTGTGATACCCTAATCCCAAGGATCACCCTTCCTTCCCATATTTGGTAAAAAATACTTGTTAAATGATTGGAATTGCATGAATACTTTTGTTAAACAAGTAAATAAAATATGCAATGCTGGTGTTGATATAAAATAAGAAAAGGAGAAGCTACAGTGAGCATAGCACAGATTTGTGTGAGAGAGATTTGTAGGAAAACAAAAGGCAGGGAAGCACGTGAGCACTCTAGACCTCCAAAGTCTTGGGTGGTCACATGTTTTATGATGGATGACAGACTATCAGCTCAACCAGGCTTGTCATGTGGTAACCATAGAGTAATAAATGATTAGTGGAGGCCTATTAAGGGCACACAACTATGTCACCATATGTCTCCAGTAACCCCATGACAAATCCAATTGGCAGCAGTGATGGTGACTCGAGGCATCAGTCATGCTCCTCAGCCATTATCTAGGTAGCATTCTCAAACTTTTGACACAAACCCACTGAATTTTCCAATACAATTACTTACTGAGCTGTGTCGCCGCCGCCGTTTAGGGGAGGATCGACTCAGCTTCCTGGCCAGGTATCGAGCCTGGCACACCACACAAAAATAAATGATACAACCTCTGATGTATACCACTGTCATCTTTGGTCCAAAAAAGACTTCCATGAACATCACACACACTTCAAGCTTCCTTAGCATTAAATCCATGTCGTATTAAAATAAAATCACACAAAGACATTACGTACTGCCAAAGCTATATCATTCTTTCTGCAGAACTTAAACCAATTATAAATTATTTAGCATCAAAACAAATGACCAAGATAGTAACTGAATATATTTTATTGTACAAAATGCACATTACTGTATATTTATTTCTTTTCCCAGTTTTTTCAGACCTAGTTTCAATAGAGACATTTCCTGTGTTGTGTCCTGCATTATATTAGAACCATCAAATAACTTCATCCTATTATTGGAACATTTGTGATTAAAGGTAATATTTATATTATTTAAATATCTGACAATAAATGTAAATATCAATTAGTTAATATGAATTGACTGAAATTAAATTCTCCAATGAAAAATACCTGAAATTATGTTCACTGCAACATATAATTGTTCTTATTAACCAAATTATCTCAGCTGGCAACCGATACTTTTTTATGTAACTGGAATTTTGGTCCATCACAGACTCTCAATAGCCTTTCTTAAACTTTTATGTAAACTATCAACTTGCTCTGATATTCAGGGTTTTAATGTGACAAAGTAATAAGTGTAATCTCATTTCAGATAGGTTAAGTGATTAACAAAATCGACAGGGAAAACTAAGCTAAGCCATAATTAAACATTTATATTAAAATTGTGTACAACTGAAAAAAAATATAAATTATTGTTAGTTTCAAAGTTTCTAGCAATGATTTGTGATCTAGAACAGTTCTTCAACCACAAACTCATCACTGCAAGGAGTGTTATCTTCATACATCTTAACAATTGTTCACCTTCCTCTTTCCTTACACATCTTTGCTCTTTGTTTTTCCCATTTACAACTGTCTCTGCTAATACATACAGTATGTCAGAGAGCTTACATGCTGCATACAGTGTCATCCTGTGTGCACATTTCCCTTGAACAAGAGCAAATTTTGTAGAAAGTAATGATAATTTTGTAAAGTGTGTTGTAGAGTTTTCATGAGATGAAAACATAAATGAAACAAATCAGTAAGTGAATTATTTTCGGACAGAGCTGCACACACGACATCCTAATTATACCAGATTACAGGTAAGAACACATGAATAAAGGAAACTATAGAAGGCATATTGGCTCATATAAGGCAACTCCTATTTATACCCACCCAAACTCATTCCTATACAACTCTAATCAATGCTGGAAAAATCCAGCGATCCCTCGTTTATTATGTTCCCAGTAATTTCTTCAAATAAATTAACAGCTGAATTCCAAACAAAATATTTACCCAGGTTTTTCCTAAACTTATACAATTTATATCTATTGTTTTGGGTATCCATCTAATTCATTAGAAATAGAGATGCAAATCTCGTCCTAATCACACACTCAGACCTCAATAAAGTACTCAGGAGTGTAAAAGACTTGTTGTAAATTCCTTACATAAATTTCACAAATACAGAAGTGGGGTGTTTCTATCCTATGGCAATCATAGTGCTAAATTTAGGGTTGAATTACCCCCCCCCCCCCATCCCTGCTTCAAAATACAGAAGAACCAAAAATTCTATACAAAACTGTATTAACATTTTTCTGCATATACTTATTTGATCTAACACAAAGATATAGCTTTTAATGATTTAAATCTGAATTTTATATAAACTTCTCTAAATTATAATACAAAATCATGAAAATATCTTTTAACTAATCATCACTATGTTTCCCACCTGTATTGCTAACACAGGATATAACAGTTATAAAGAAAGGTAAACCAGCTCCATCACACTCTTACAAGTCAGCCTATCAGGATTTTTATCCTCATTGTGACAAGGACTATCACAAGTGGTCTTGATACATGCCTAAGAAAATTTTGATCAGATGGAAATAGATTGGAGAACAAAATACCTCCACATTGGGAAACAGACATCATAGTGAAGAGAGCAGACACTCATTTTAGCAAAAACAAATCAGTCGGGGAAAAGCCAAAAATGGCAAGAGAAGAGAACCCACTGGTGATACTAGATCTATTGTTCATATAAAAGTACCTGTATATGGATGGAGAGTAAAAAGAATGAGAATTAGTACTGCATTAGTGCTGCAGTAGGGGACCAGATCAAGAAATGTGTTGAGAAAGGCACTAAATTATACATGTGAACACTGTGTTAGATGCACTTTTCAATGTGAAAAACTGGTGGTAGCTTATATTTATGTAAATGCAGAATCAAGAGCACTATAGTATCAACCTTTTTAATTTTGCAGATTTAGTAATGCCTATCAAAGTAACGGAAGCATCAGTCTGTGATAAGTAAGCAAATGTTTAAAATGTCTGGAGCAGTGTGCATCTAGTCTTACGGAGTAATAGGGTGCTGCAGTGGAGGGGTTGCTTCAGTGGTGGAATTGGTTCTTCATGATGATATGTAGTGTTTACAACATGGTCAATGATGAAGTGTCATTTTGTACTATATTTTGCCTTTTTATATAGTGGTCCACTATTGCCGACATGTCTTCACTCCCATGAATGGCAGAAATGGAGTAAAATGGTGATTTCTTAAAAAACAAAGTAATTGCATGAACTTAATAAAAGTTATGTAAGCAAAGTCCAAGAAAATATTTCACTACTGATAACAACAACAACTAAATTGACCACTTTGTTAAATCTCTTTCTTTTTAGCACTTAATTTTCCAAAATACACTTGGCAACTAATGCTTGGCAACTTAAGCCTAGTTTAAGTAGTTTCATAAAATTTCATACAGTAATAATAATGCAGTGTAGGCATTATTATTACAAATTCAACTTCAGTCATAATGACTTAACATTATAGAAATGTAACCATTTGATATAAAATCATTCCAAATTACATAACTTGATATTACAGACAGAATTCTACTATAATGATTTGGAATGAAGAGGTTTACACAAAATTAAGTCATTTCGACCACTATGCCTGACCCAAGTTGAATATAAACAATTTTCAAACAATAATGTGCACTCAGCCATTATACAAGTACTGAAAAAACCTAAAACATTTATGTCAAATATTTGTATAATATATTTATCATCCTTCTGCAGCTTTCATTGCTAATGACAGAGCATTGCAAGTGAACATGAACAGCAGGAAGCATGCTTATATAGTTCACTAGTTCATTGAACTAGCCAATTCATGGCTAGTTCAACTAGGTGTTATTAGAGTACTATTTCAAATAAGCAGTTTTATTGGACTGCAAATACTGCCAAAAAATATAATAAAAAATTACTATGCAGTAATAACCAAAAATAAGTATATTTCACTCTGTACAGGCATTGGGAGAAATTAAAACATTTAGAACAAAATTCAATTAGTGCAAAATTTCTAATAATTCAATGTTGGAAGTATTAACATCAGATTTACAACAAAATTGTGGCTTTATATTTTAATTTCTCACAGCTCAAGACAAATACAACACTCAAATATCTACCAACAAAGAAAATTTTTAATATATTTAATCAAATTATAATATCAAGCAAGCAATATAAAAAATATATATAAATCTTTTTAAGTAAACCGCATTTACAATACCTAACTTTTACTAAATGCTGCAAACTTCAAGTGATAAATTTAATCTAAGAAATAAAATAAAAAATTTATTCCACCAAATAATTTCTAAAGCCTTAACTGTGCCCAAGGAAACTAAACATGTCTCTTCACCCCTTTAAAAACAAGGACCCACTTGAGAGTTTAAGACTGATTCAAGTTAGCGCTCAGGAATTGTGAGTATAAATGGCTATTTGTACTCACAAATACTATATATTTGTGAGTCACTATATATTTCAAAGTTACATGACTGAATAGGTCCTTGAGGTTATCTTGAGATGATTTCGGGGCTTTAGTGTCCCCGCGGCCCAGTCCTCGACCAGGCCTCCGCCCCCAGGAAGCAGCCCGTGACAGCTGACTAACACCCAGGTACCTATTTTACTGCTAGGTAACAGGGGCATAGGGTGAAAGAAACTCTGCCCATTGTTTCTTGCTGGCACCTGGGATCGAACCCAGGACCACAGGATCACAAGTCCAGCGTGCTGTTCGCTCGGCCGACCGGCTCCCAAAGTTCATCCCTATCCCTATATCCCTAAGCTAAGTTTCCACTGTCTCAATAGGAATGGCAACAACCAGTCAAGCAGAGTGACTTTCTGGTACTGGTAAAGCAGAAAACTTTGCAATTGTGCCCCACTTAGTCATAATAATACTAGGGAGTAAACCTATATAGCTCTTGAAAAACATAAATCAAATAAACTCAAGGGACCTTCCAAGAGTGTCATAACATGAAAAAGACTGCAAAGCAGTACTCTAGCTAACAACGAATTTTTTATTTTTACAAAACGGAGGAAGATATCAACATGTTTATGAAGGAAAATATTTTTTCTTAAATTAATACAGCATTAACCCAAAGCCCATGTCAAAGTCTTCATCCAATGCCTGGGAAAGAAAGGGTGTTTGCCAAAGGAGAAAACACAGACAAAACATGCAGTTGTGAAGAGGAAAACTCTGCATCCTTGGCAGAACCAGAGGACTCAACTGCTCCTGTGCTCGAGAAGGAAGAGGCAACACCCTAGAACTTGCAGTTATACTCAGAGCTGAAATTGCTCTGACACTGAAACCCTCAGATGCTTCAGAGCCAGAAGCAGGGGAAGATAAACAGAAGCATGGCATATCACACCTGCAGGGAAATGTTTGACGAGGCACAGCTAGAGCTAGGGTGGAGACGACCATCACCTCCAATTCCAGGTCCCAAGCACCATACAGGGCAATTCCGGGGCATCTATCTGAGCACAAAACCCTGAATGCTGAACCCAGGCAAACCTAGCCCTGCAAAGTGGCAGCCTGCCTCATACACTTCCACATCAGAAGCAAGATTAGAGATAATCAGAACCCATGGGGAACAAACCCCACAGAATTCAGGATCATAAGTATTGCCGACTCAACAGGCAGCATGGCCGAGGCAGAAAGAATGATGGTCACCAAATAGCAAATGCAATGAACTTTCAAGTGACAAGAGCAGGCTTGACAGACCATTCAATATACATAACTGATCTTGTCAGAGGGGAATTATTATGCAAAGGGAATACAATGACCAGCTGGTAATATGCTAGCCAGGTACTCCTAGGTATTCAGCATTCCCAGGCACTGGGAATACTTGCTGAAAGAATGGAAACCAAAAATCAGCCTAATGGACCAGGGCTGCAATTGGCGACCACTGCATGCTGTACATATAATGCGCGTAAACCCTAAGTGTACCCTAAAGCAACCAACTTCATTGCCCACCAACCACAGATCTACATAGAGGAGTCAAACGACCCTTGAAATACCCGAGGTAAGGCAGTGAACATCCAGGGCAGTAACCGCTGGACTTACTTGAAGAGTGGGCTTCAGGGGTTCTACTACTCCCCGAGCCTGGCCTGGGGCCAGGCTCGACAATGCAGTTGTCGAACTCGTAGAGTTCAAAGCATAGAAAGCCAAGTCTACACAAAAACAGCAGATAAACACTCAAAGCTAATACAAAGTGGAATGATGCACAGGTAAATGGCCCCCACAGGACAAGTCCAAGGTTAGCTGGCACTTAGCTTAGAAGCACTGAGACCCACTGCAAAAGATGGCAACTATTGAGTACTTTATGATGCATCACAGGTTCTATATTCTATCAAAGACAGAACTGACTGGTGGGTTGGCAGGGGACCAAGTTTTGGGCCACCTGTTAATGGTGATCAGTACTAACGGGTTTGGGCTAATTTCGAGCGAATTATTTTGTTTAATTTGAATCACTTGGGGAGTTCTTTGGCAGTTTTAAGGCTTTGGTTCTTGTGAACTGAGTAGTTGTCCATAAAATTTAATTTACTTTCTGGATACTTTCCCAGTTAAATGGCAGAATGTCATTTGCTCTGCACATCTGTGAGGTAGGGGCAGGTTCTAGCTCTGGCAGTAACAAGTCAACAAGTTGGCAGAGTAGAGCTCCCATGACTGTAGTATCGAACAATCTTGGTGAGATAGCTAGAGGGAGTCACCAAGCAGCTTCCCCCAAAAACAAATATTTAGAAAATAAAAATAAAAATTTATTTTATAAAAATGTTGTACAGTATATAGAAGATTACAAGTGGTTTACAAGGGGGGGGATGATGGGGGAATCTAGCTGCAATACTTTTGGATCATGCATACACAAATTCATGTTGAGGTGACTTAAACTGCCCTGCAAAACCTATGGAGATTGTTCCTACGCACTTACTTCTGCTCTCACAGAACGTATTTCCTACTAATCAGTCGTTATATCAACTATTTACACAAGTTCATTCAGGGAGACAATATTGTCTTTACAAATTATGGCATCCAGGTGCCCAAATCATCAAGACAATGAGCTATCTCACCTTAAATAAAGTAAACATTGAGAGAAAAATAATGCTTATTAACATGGTTGTGTAAAATGCAAGATTTATGCAATTTTTCGGCTAATCTATAGCAAGTTATTGTGGGAGGTAGGTAATAATGTCAGGTAGCAGTTGTCCCTCTCACCTACTTTCCCCTTAATATTTACACATAATAATTTGAAATATGGGAGAAATAAGAAGTTATAAACACTTTAGCATTCTGATAACACTAAAATGTGTCATCTATACTCCAACAGTATAAGTTCCAATGACTTTTTTTTTGGGGGGGGGGGGGGGAACAGAAAGTGTGTGTGGGCATAGCTCATCAGAGGATCATCCAGAGATCATTTCAGGCAAGAATCAATTACCCAAGTCAGGAATGTGTTGATGGATTGGAACATTAACATGTTAAAGTGAGAATGAAAAGAAAAAATAAATAAATGAAAAAGTTAAATGTTTAGCAGTGAATTAATATTGAGGCTGTATTATGGAATCAACCACCTCAAGCCAATGTACAATCACGGTGTGCACATCTGACTTGATCAAGGGAATGGGTTCAATTCTGTAGTACGGCCCCTCAATATTTATTCAGAATCATCATGTTATTGTGATTTTCATTGTACATGTTTAGCAGTATTAATGTGGAAGGATGTCTGAAACACCGTCATCTTCAGTTTTACCTACTCCCTTCTTTAAATAACTTGTACAGTACTTCAGTTTAACAACAATCTGGAAGTAACAAGAACTACAGAAAACTGAATACATTGTTTGGGCAAAAAATGTGGTAATAAATAAAAGAAAAAAGCTATATCCATTATTTAGCGAAGTTCGGAACGGGTCCATAGTCAATCTGTATTATCAAGGTTTTACATTAAAGGACATAATTCTCCGAGTTAATCCGAGAATTATGTACTTAACTGTGGATAGCTAAAAGGAGGGCTAACAAAATCTAGGAGCCCTTAACTGAGAAGGAAGCAGGCTCCAGCCTATCAAATAAAACCACATTCAGTGTTCTGGTACATTCTCACATTACCAGTGAAGTAACACTTGTCAACATATCTGTGGTGACTAAACCTGCACATAACTGTACAAGCATTTTAATCATGGTTGTGGAGCCATTTACTATCTGAAGATGTGGATGGCATACACCTACTATGCACAACATTGCATTAAATGTGGGAAAAGTTGCACGTGAAGTGAAACTTTAGATTTCTATTACAGTACTTGGTTTATTTCATTACCAACCTCATGTTATCAATTTGACCAAAGGAAAGGTTCGTCGGATAGTGTCATTGTCATCTACACATTTATAAACACGATTTCACATGTCTAGTAGTTCCTCTTTATTATTAGATGATGTTTCTTCAATATTTATCAACTCATTTGTGTTAAATCTTCACAGCTTCACAAAATAACTTAAAAATTTAACTAAAATGATGAAGAAAGCAGTACTGTATTTATGTAATCTGATCTTGCAAAATTAAAAAATAAAAATAAAGCATTAACATGTATATAACTTCAAATTATTACTAACCCTCGTTTCAGGATCATCTCGATGACGTCTAGAAGAAGATGGAGATCGGGTTAGGCCCTCTTGAGCATGTTGTTGGCTGCGAGAATCCAATCCAGGGGTGGAAACAACTGGGAGGACATTAGGGTTGACCTGTAACTGCCGGATGATGTCTTCAATGTAGTTTATTACAACCTCAGCATGATTCCCCGGTAACAAATTGGTCATTACCTGAAAATAAATAATACAGCATTTCAAAGTCATCCATATTTTTATACCTTACTGCCCTTCTAATGTCAAGTACAAGGACAACTCAAATGAGACTTCACACAATATAAAGAAATTACACAACACAGGTACTTAAGATTAATATAATTTATCCTTTCACTTTTTCTGAACCTACTTTCACCTGTCCAATTTGTAAATACTTAACCAACTCCTCTGTATTTATCTTGTGAGTTGTTGAAACTAAGTCTGGGCTCCAAACACAGAAATTCACAAGCCTCCCTCTCTCTGTCTCTCAAAAGTCTTACTATCTCATGGTGCTGCTAAACTTTTCATACATAAACCACAAATCACAAAGAGTTCTCTGATACAGAGGAAACAGAAACCAAAGCTGGTGGATGAAGCAGTTTACTGTTTTCTGAGGCAACTCAACACTGAACCAACAATAGAGGGGACAATACACCTGTAACTCAGGATCTATTGTTCACCTAAATTGAGGCAGATGCAGAGAAAATAGAATTTGAACAGCAACTGGGAGCCAGTGCTACTTTTTTTTTTACAATGTTTGATTAAGTTGTTGAACTGAGGGAGAGGACTAGACGTAGGAACAGGCTGCAAAGATATTAGATTCAAGATGGGTAAGGGACTTCCAGCAGAATATACCACTGGAAAATTAAATGCTAACAGAAATGGAGAATATAGCAGGACAATGTCCAGAAGCCATTTAAATATTCATCCCTCCAGAAAGGCTCAATAGACAATGAAGAAGAAAAAAAAAAAAGGCATGGAAGTAAAACTGAAAAGAAGAAATAAAGGTCAATAAGAACAACCAACAACCAAGGAAATCCACTAGAAGCCTTGAGGACGGTTGCCAATTGAAGCTTTTTACAAATAATCCACATACTTTGTTGTGTAGGTAATGAAGTTCTCCCTTCAAGTACACTAAGAAATCACAATAGTGTGATATATCTTTACAAAAATAATCAGAGCAGGATGAGAATTAGCTACCACCTTATATTATATATATATTATGCCCATGACTTCACAGATTCACGGCCTATTATTCCTATTATTTTGGGGGAGGGGGAGGGGAGAATCAGTGAGAGAGGGGGGAGAGAGATGCTAGGAGGGAGGGGGAGGTCAGGCAGGCAGGCTAGCTTGCAGGCAGGGAGTGAGTGGTAGTCACGAGGTTGAACCGCGTGACCTTGAGAGATGGGATGTAGGGGGGCGGGTGGTTTGTTGGTGGTGGGGGCGAGATCGGCTCATTCCCGAAGATAAGCCTAACACACACTACCCGTTAGCATGATGGCAGGGGGAGAGGCAGGCTGGCTGGAAAGGAAGAAGGCTGACAGGCAGGCAGGCTGACAGGCAGGCAGGCTGGCAGGAAAGGCTGGCTGGCAGGCTGGCTGGCAGGCTGGCAGGCTGGGAAGGAGGCAGGCTGGCAGGCTGGGAAGGAGGCAGGCAAGCAGGCTGGGAAGGAGGCAGGCTGGGAAGGAAGCAGGCTGGCAGGCAGGCTGGCTGGCAGGCTGGCAGGCTGGGAAGGAGGTAGGCTGGGAAGAAGGCAGGCTGGGAAGGAGGCAGGCTGGGAAGGAAGCAGGCTGGCAGGCTGGGAAGGAGGCAGGCTGGCAGGCTGGGAAGGAAGCAGGCTGGCAGGCTGGGAAGGAGGCAGGCTGGCAGGCTGGGAAGGAGGCAGGCTGGCAGGCTGGGAAGGAGGCAGGCTGGGAAGGAGGCAGGCTGGCAGGCTGGGAAGGAGGCAGGCTGGCAGGCTGGGAAGGAGGCAGGCTGGCAGGCTGGGAAGGAGGCAGGCTGGCAGGCTGGGAAGGAGGCAGGCTGGCAGGCTGGGAAGGAGGCAGGCTGGCAGGCTGGGAAGGAGGCAGGCTGGGAAGGAGGCAGGCTGGGAAGGAGGCAGGCAGGCAGGCTGGGAAGGAGGCAGGCAGACAGGCTGGGAAGGAAGCAGGCTGGCAGGCTGGGAAGGAGGCAGGCTGGGAAGGAGGCAGGCTGGCAGGCTGGGAAGGAGGCAGGCTGGGAAGGAGGCAGGCTGGCAGGCTGGGAAGGAGGCAGGCTGGCAGGCTGGGAAGGAGGCAGGCTGGCAGGCTGGGAAGGAGGCAGGCTGGGAAGGAGGCAGGCAGGCAGGCTGGGAATATATATATATATATATATATATATATATGTCGTACCTAGTAGCCAGAACGCACTTCTCAGCCTACTATTCAAGGCCCGATTTGCCTAATAAGCCAAGTTTTCATGAATTAATGTTTTTTCGTCTACCTAACCTACCTAACCTAACCTAACCTAGCTTTTTTTGGCTACCTAACCTAACCTTACCTATAAATATAGGTTAGGTTAGGTTAGGTAGGGTTGGTTAGGTTCGGTCATATATCTACGTTAATTTTAACTCCAATAAAAAAAAATTGACCTCATACATAGAGAAAAGGGTTGCTTTATCATTTCATAAGAAAAAATTATAGTAAATATATTAATTCAGGAAAACTTGGCTTATTAGGCAAATCGGGCCATGAATAGTAGGCTGAGAAGTGAGTTCTGGCTACTAGGTACGACATATATATACACAGTATATATATATATATATATATATATATATATATAGATATATATATATATATATATATATATATATATATAGGTATATAGTATTATATATATATATATATATATATATATATTATATATATATATATTATATATATATATATATATATATATATATATATATATATATATATATATATATATATATATATACATATTATATATATATATATATATATATATATATACATATATATATACATATATATATATATATACATATCCCAGAAGTGACTCGAACCCATACTCCCAGAAGAAACGCAACTGGTATGTACAAGACGCCTTAATCCACTTGACCATCACGACCGGACAAAATGAGGTGATAGCCGAGGCTATTTGAACCACCCCACCGCCGGCACTCGGATAGTAATCTTGGGCATAGCATTTTACCAAATCACCTCATTCTTTGGGGCACACGTGAGGAACACAAATGCGAACAAGCCTGAATGGTCCCCAGGACAATATGCAACTGAAAACTCACACCCCAGAAGTGACTCGAACCCATACTCCCAGAAGCAACGCAACTGGTATGTACAAGACGCCTTAATCCACTTGACCATCACGACCGGACAAAATGAGGTGATAGCCGAGGCTATTTGAACCACCCCACCGCCGGCACTCGGATAGTAATCTTGGGCATAGCATTTTACCAAATCACCTCATTCTTTGGGGCACACGTGAGGAACACAAATGCGAACAAGCCTGAATGGTCCCCAGGACAATATGCAACTGAAAACTCACACCCCAGAAGTGACTCGAACCCATACTCCCAGAAGCAACGCAACTGGTATGTACAAGACGCCTTAATCCACTTGACCATCATGACCGGACAAAATGAGGTGATAGCCGAGGCTATTTGAACCACCCCACCGCCGGCACTCGGATAGTAATCTTGGGCATAGCATTTTACCAAATCACCTCATTCTTTGGGGCACACGTGAGGAACACAAATGCGAACAAGCCTGAATGGTCCCCAGGACAATATGCAACTGAAAACTCACACCCCAGAAGTGACTCGAACCCATACTCCCAGAAGCAACGCAACTGGTATGTACAAGACGCCTTAATCCACTTGACCATCACGACCGGACAAAATGAGGTGATAGGGTGGTTCAAATAGCCTCGGCTATCACCTCATTTTGTCCGGTCGTGATGGTCAAGTGGATTAAGGCGTCTTGTACATACCAGTTGCGTTGCTTCTGGGAGTATGGGTTCGAGTCACTTCTGGGGTGTGAGTTTTCAGTTGCATATTGTCCTGGGGACCATTCAGGCTTGTTCGCATTTGTGTTCCTCACGTGTGCCCCAAAGAATGAGGTGATTTGGTAAAATGCTATGCCCAAGATTACTATCCGAGTGCCGGCGGTGGGGTGGTTCAAATAGCCTCGGCTATCACCTCATTTTGTCCGGTCGTGATGGTCAAGTGGATTAAGGCGTCTTGTACATACCAGTTGCGTTGCTTCTGGGAGTATGGGTTCGAGTCACTTCTGGGGTGTGAGTTTTCAGTTGCATATTGTCCTGGGGACCATTCAGGCTTGTTCGCTATATATATATATATATATATATATATATATATATATATATATATATATATATATATATATATATATATATATATATATATATATATATATATATATATATATATGTCGTACCTAATAGCCAGAACGCTCTTCTCAGCCTACTATTCAAGGCCCGATTTGCCTAATAAGCCAAGTTTTCATGAATTAATGTTTTTTCGTCTACCTAACCTACCTAACCTAACCTAACCTAGCTTTTTTTGGCTACCTAACCTAACCTTACCTATAAATATAGGTTAGGTTAGGTTAGGTAGGGTTGGTTAGGTTCGGTCATATATCTACGTTAATTTTAACTCCAATAAAAAAAAATGACCTCATACATAGAGAAAAGGGTTGCTTTATCATTTCATAAGAAAAAAAATTATAGTAAATATATTAATTCAGGAAAACTTGGCTTATTAGGCAAATCGGGCCTTGAATAGTAGGCTGAGAAGTGAGTTCTGGCTACTAGGTACGACATATATATATATATATATATATGTCGTACCTAGTAGCCAGAACGTACTTCTCAGCCTACTATGCAAGGCCCGATTTGCCTAATAGGCCAAGTTTTCATGAATTAATTGTTTTTTCGACTACCTAACCTACCTAACCTAACCTAACCTAACTTTTTCGGCTACCTAACCAAACCTAACCTATAAAGATAGGTTAGGTTAGGTTAGGTAGGGTTGGTTAGGTTCGGTCATATATCTACGTTAATTTTAACTCCAATAAAAAAAAATTGACCTCATACATAATGAAATGGGTAGCTTTATCATTTCATCAGAAAAAAATTAGAAAAAATATATTAATTCAGGAAAACTTGGCTTATTAGGCAAATCGGGCCTTGAATAGTAGGCCAAAAAGTGAGTTCTGGCTACTAGGTACGACATATATATATATATATATATATATATATATATATATATATATATATATATATATATATATATATATATATATATATATATATATATATATATATATATATATATATATATATATATATATATATATATATATATATATATATATATATATATATATATATATATATATATATATATATATATATATATATATATATACATATATATACATATATACATATATATATACATATATATATATACATATATATATACATATATATATATACATATATATATATACATATATATATATACATATATATATATACATATATATATATACATATATATATATACATATATATATATACATATATATATATACATATATATATATATACATATATATATATACATATATATATATACATATATATATCTCTTCCCATAACCAAACCATCGCCAGAGAAATCCTAGTAAACAACACAGAAATCATCGATAGATACAGCGATAGCAGGCGGCTTGACGTTTGCGAGGCACTACACATCAAGAAGTCAACACCAGCAATCAACAGCCAATTATTGCACAACTATATTCTACCCACCTCAAGACTCCGCTCCAATATAGAAGCATCAAGAAATATGGACCAATAGGCTTTCTACAAACACTTCTATTCAATATCCATTGTTTCGTGTTCTGTCTTGTGTTGATACTTTTAATACCCTATTAATATCCTCTAATGCCACATCATCCTTCCCACCTCACTCAAATGTAATGCCACATCACCCTTCCCACCTCACTCAAATATATATATATATATATATACACACACACACACACACACACACACATACACAGACAGTACCAGAAGGTTACAAATGTCATCAGGATCCTGATATGACCAAGGTGGTGGTTGGGAAAGAAAAAGTCATGCCATATCGTGCCACAAGCTCCGTGCAGCTACTGATGAGACAGCACAGTAAGTAGTCTCAATGTCCTGTGTGCAGTTTAACCAAGTACAGTAAAACTGAATAATTTCCTATCAATAAGTTACATTATAGCAATATTCTGTCACCTGAGCTACCAATAATAAGAAATGCCTGTACATATACTTATTTCTACTTTTTAAGGAAACACATTTAAGAATAAATTGTCAAATTTCTTACCAATTTGTTAGCAACATCTTGAGGGTCATTATCTGTTATGTCAAACTTGAAAGTGATAGTCTTCTGTTTGATGGTTTCCAACTGGCATTCAACCATTGTATCTGTCACACTCAAGACTGTCAACTTTGGAAATCTATCGAGGGTCTTCTTCTTCCGAATCTTCTTACGGTCCGTGTGCTGTTTGCTGCTTGTCCCATCAGCTGGATGCTCACTGCACTCTGACTCGGAGGCAGCGCTGGGGTCAAATGGAGGGTGAGTAGAGGTGGTGGTGGTGGTGGTGGTGGTGTTTGAGGAGGAGGAGGACATGGTGGTGGTAGTGGTGGTGGTAGTGGTGGTATTGAAGGTAGTGGTGCTGCTTGTGATGGAGTTGTTTGTCTGCGACTCCAAACCAGTGCCACCAGGCCTTCTCAGAGACATGGAAAGAACAAATTTCACTATTTCACATATTTCACAAAACATATTTTACTTCAATGGGATGATCATTACTTACCAGCTGGAGGACATCATTACATGCATTACATAAATCTTACACCCCCAATGGCATTTGCAAAACTGTTTAGCAGGGTTTGAAAATAAATTATATAGCAACATTATCAGCTACACAAAAAAAAGCTTTCACAATATGGAAGCAAAGTGAGATTTTGAAGAAAGTAGTTAAATGAATATACAGTTAAAGAAGAAAGTTTTTTACTTGACAATATCATATCTTGCAGGAGAGTAAGGAAAATTACCCAGGTAAAAACGTGTAAAAATAAAATGAATAGAATGACATTTATCATCAAGATTTATTAAATCAGGGTATTCATCAAGACCACATAGAAAACTATGCATAGTTAACTGATAATACAAGTTAGGTCAAAATATACTTGGCAACAGATGTAGGTTAGAGAAAATAAGGGGGGGGGGGGGAGGGGGGGAGTTTGTGACTGCTTAAGCGAACACATAGGTTTGTAACACCTTTAATGGAACAAAAGGACTCAACATGTCTCCTCTTAGCTCATTAATTGCATACACAAACAGCATTCAAACAAAATAACACACCAAGTTAAACAGATTCATATACTTTTACAGACTTTTTAAGTGAAGACATTAATTTTTCTTATAACCAATCAAACTAAAGTTGGAAGAGAATTTAAAGCCAAGGAGTGCTGCAGACAGCAAGGCTTACTTGCCATATAGAGCACAAAATATGCAGATAATATTTTAAGATTTCAAAGATAAGTAAGCATTCAAAGGAGGCATATTCATATCCTAAAAACATAAAACATCAATTTGGGAGATCTTGAGGAAAGCCAGAAATCTAATGGCAAAGTGCGCTTACCTGTCATTTAGCAGGTGAGAATATGTGTCTGTAAGTATCTGAGGTGATGGGCAGGATTCCACCTGTGAGAGGAGGAAAACCATAAGAAAATATTTCATGTTGAATGTTAGCATCTGCATGCACTATTAAAACTTGTATTTGCTTTTACAAAAAAGTTTTGTAATCAATACCAATAACCAATTATATTAGTTATCTATTTAATAAAAAAAATGAATACAATAACATGGCAAGATACAAAATCAAAATGTTAGAGATGATGGAAGTGGACTAAAAGCAAAGAATGCAGGGAGTTGGGAAAAGGAACATTAAAATCTATACAGAAATAAAAGCATAATTTCAGAGTACAATATAAACAAGCAACTAGGGAAAAGCTAAATAGAGTGGACAGCAAGTAATACAGTATTTTCATGGTGTTGCAAGAGAGGAATCTCAAAGGACCTGATGACCTTAGTAATGACATGCCTAAATATATGTATAGCCAAGAACCAAGAACAAATTAGTTCAGTAACTGTGCCAGTTGCTATTTTAAAATTGTCTACAACTGAATACAATTTTGCAAGAGAACTTGATCTCTATTGATCATATTTAATCAAGCAATTCTTAGGCTGTCATATTTTGGAACACAAAAAGTGTGATGCAGTGAGTACTGGGTACATAGAGCTGTATTCAGTACATATTACTATAATGAGTACAGGAAGTGTAACGAGTTTATGCTGGTGAATTAAGCACATGCTACAGTGAGGTCGAGTTGGAGGTGGTGGTGTTCAGCACTTGGCTTTGTCTACAAGGAATAAGATTTAGATCTCAAGTACCACCTCACAGCTATTCTGGTATATTTATACCTCCCAACATTCCAGTACTTTGTCCTAGTAGCTTAGTCCTCTTAAATTAGGTCTTATGACCAGGCTCTACTTTATTAAAGTTTCATTTCATGCTTTAAAAGGCATTGTTTCTATTCCACTGTTGTGTATTCTAATACTGAATTCACCTAGTTGTGCTTGTGGGAGTTGAGCTCTGTTCTTTCAGCCCGCCTGTCAACTGTCAATCAATCTTTTTTGTCTTGATCTTCAATCAATGACAATCAATCTTGTAAATTTTTTATATTTTTGTTCACCCCCCACCCCCCCCAGGAAGAAGCCCGTAACAGCTGTCTAACTCCCAGGTACCTATCTACTGCTAGATAACAGGGGCATCAGGGTGAAAGAAACTCTGCCCATTTGTTTTCCGTCATCGCCGGGGATCAAACCCGGACCCTAGGATTACAAGACCTAAATGCTGGCCACTCAGCCACAGGCCACTTAACTGTAGAATAGGTTGAGTGTGAGTTAAGTGGGCTGGTAGGGTGAGTGTGGGTTAGGTGGGCTGGTAGGGTGAGTGTGGGTTAGGTGGGCTGCTAGGGTGTGGGGGGGGGGGGCTCAGGTGGAAATTATTGGAGCATCTACTTCTATTCATTTTCATGATATCACTAAAGGTTATCTTCAATGATTTGTAAAGCCGATTTTAAATTCTGGAAACGGGGGGCCCCACATGGTCTATCAACACTAGACGTCTTCCTTGCACCACCATACACAAATCTTGAAAATTACAAGCTGATATGCAAAAATATTCTCCACATATTACAGAGAAACTAACAAATGTGAAAACATTTAAATAAATCAAACAGAAAATTTAATAATTGCATAGGTCTAATGAAATATAAATGTGATACTAATGTAAATTTCCCAACAAATTATATTATGCTTGCAGACAAAAAATTTAAAATGAGTAACAGATCGGAAGTTTAAGGCTTGGAAAGGATACGGATATAAATTTGGGTATTCAATATTTGTGTCCGTGTGAACAGACGAACACAGAATAGGTTTACTGAATACATGAAGCAGAGAAACGTTAATCAAACTGAACAGAAAATGTAGATGAGGACACAGAAGGGTGGTGGGAGGAGCAGTAGTTAGGTAGGCTGCTGGGGTACACACTACACAATCACCTGTAAACACTACTAAATCATGAGAAAACAGCTGGAAATGGCAAACTTGGCATTAGGATCCCATATAAAGCCAAAATAAATTAAGCAGAATACAAAATACAAAAACAAGTTAAAATAATATGCTAAATTCGGAAACACCAATTATAGGCTAGTGGAATAAGTGATAAAATATTAGGACTAATAAGTAAAAGAAACATTAGTAGAGGAATGAGAGATACAATTAACATAAGACACAAGCTGGATATTAAAATGGGTGAAACCATTTTGAATTTCTTATTACATATTATAGATATACAGCCCAAAATACAAAAAATAAAGTCCAAATGAGTGCAGTTATTAGAAAATAATGTATTAAAAGGAAAAGTGATAATTTACGATAATTAAAAACAATCAGCGGGAAGGAGGGGGAGGATAGGAGGGGAAGGAGAGGAGAGGGAAGAGGGGAGGGGGTGAGAGGGTAGGGGTGGGAGGGGTGGGGGTGGGGGAAATTAAGAATAAATCCTCAATTGTCAAGACAATTTTGACAGTTTTATGGATGAGAGTTGCACAAATAGATGTATGCAATGTACCTACTTTTTAAAAGCAAATAAATCACACACACAAATACTGTAAACCATACAAAAAAAAGAGTACTGTGGGCACAAGCTCATGACCCTGTGCCCACAAGTTAAGTCATTTTGACAACCGAGCCGACTAACTCTTCTTAAAGATCACAATTTGCAAAGGCATTGAAAGCTATCAGAGCTTCTTATTCCATACTTTACCCAATTACTGAGAGCACTTGTATTATGGATCAAGAAGGATTTTAACACTAATTTCATATTATGAAAGAGTTCATAATGCTGTGAAACAACAAATAGGGAGTTCTGTGAGCACCAACTCATTACTGTGCCCATGAACTATTCGCACTGTCAATTGAGCAAGCCAGACACATCAAAAGAACTGGAACTTGGAGATCCACCATGGATTCATATTAAAAGTATTGGGGCAGAAATATGGAACAAGGGGTAATAGTATTCTATACCTTGCCAGCATACCATTCTTTTGAAAGGTCAGTTGGATCAGTGCACAGAGTGACAAACTCAAGTGTACAGTCTTGAGTTTCTTTTCACAGTACTCTCGTGTATGATTTGTTGCTTCACAGTATTGTGAACTCATTGATGGTACATAAATTGAAAGATATATACATTTAACAGCATGCTTAAGAAAAAACTGCTATAAATGTCGCTCTCTCTCTCTCTCCTTATATATATCAATTTCATTACCTCCATCTTCCACATATGATATGCATATATTGTATGCACATATGTATGAACACAGTTGTAAATAACCTATTCAATGTTTCCAAATAATATGAAACTAGTAAGGAGAATAGAAACCAAATTTAAGGTAATAAATGCAATAGGAAAAGTCCAACAAATGACTACTAGAGCTCAGCTCCATAAAAATATAGGAAATAAGGACAGGAGGGAAAGATGTCAGCAAAATCATACTGATTAAGGGGAATGCAATTAACTGTCAGAGAAATACAGAGGAAAGGTCTTGATAGCAACCCAACCCTATCACCAGAGATACACACATCCTGGCATTAGGATAACAGCAGCAGCAGCATAAAAAAGGGTGGCCAATATGAGAACACCTTCAAGGAGATAAACAAGGAATTATTCAGTAAACTATACACCTGTTTAGTAAGGTCAAGACTAGATAATGTGGAGCCAGCATAGAGCCCTCATTTTCACAAAAACTTCATTTATATTGTAGAGTTCATGTATAGTAATATGACGACTTTGAAGGACGTGGGACAAAAAAGCATTGGAGAATTGATTGGACTAAACTGCAAAAAGATAACAAAAGAAACACAAAGATTCCAAATAAAAATATAAGATATACGAAGGAAATAGGAGGAAGAAGGCACAATTAAAGAAAATTTTATAATTGACACGTAGTAATAGGAGAACTCAAAGAAGAAGTCAGAAAATTTTAATATGGCAGGGGAAGGCTAGATAAGATGAAGAAAAAGGGAAGATAAGAAAGGGATTAAAGATGAGTAAATAAAAAGCAAAGCAGGAAAAAGAGACAAAACAAAGAAAGAATGGGGAGATGAAAAGAAAAAGAGAATGACATGAGATGAGTAGAAATGAGCTGAAAGAGAAATTGGAGAGAACAAAAACTTGAGGTAAACAAAGTATAAGTATAAAATGGAATAAAGGTAGTAAACCTTCAATAAACATCAGAGAGAAAAAAGAAGAATATAACTGTTGAGAAGGCATCAACAGTGGCAAGTGCATTAAGGGCTAAGCTCCTAGTACTTTTTGATTCTAAACACATGGAGACTGTCGAGAAAAAGCACATTACTACAGTGATGAGAACACATGGAGAGAGAGTGAGTGTATGGAGCAATAGATCTGTATGCACTACAGTAGCATACAACATATACAAGGAAAAGGTGATGCAACTACAGACCTGGTGTTCACCCAGTGAGGTGAACACTGAGGTGAACACTGAGGGAATAAAATATAAGGAGCCATCTAGAACCAGTGACTACTAAATATGACTATATAACTGAGCTGAAAGTTGAAGAACAGGTTCAGAGGGAAATAAGACAACATGAGGATAAGACTATCTCCAGAAATTACAGGAAAAAGAGTAAGCTAGAAGAAACAAAAATAAAAGACAAGGAAAACATGGGTCAAATTAATATGGAGACCACAAAAAAAAAAATACAGTACCACTCATAAAAAACACCCCAAAAAGCCAGAATAATATAGAACTAGTGTGCAATAACAAATTTTTGGATAAGAAGGTGAATCAACCATAATATTCAATACAGAAATGGTGAAATTAAGGAGAAAAGTCAGAACATACTACTATAGAAACCACAGGAAACCACATAACATGCAAAGGCTGCAAGGACACTAGCCTAAAGTAAACTGTATATTAACAAATAAAGTAAATTCAAATTATGAAAATGTTAGCAATGGATACAAGATAAATCCTGTATACAGTACAGTCAGCTCTTACTATGAATGAGATGCATTCAGGGAAAATTAAATGTAATCCCTTTCCTTGAGCATATTT